CCAGTGTGTGAGAAGTTCTATCACTACCGCCCACCACTCAAAAGCTACGACGTCTTAATGATGCATTCATGTTGTAAGGTTCGAGGTGCGTTCTCATACCAGTCGAGCTTTCCACAACGAAATAGTACACTCTGGACTGATTGACTGACTATATACTCAAACATCTCAGAGACAGACAACTCAGGAATGCGACGACGCTGTGTCGACTACCTGGTACCTCCATAAATGACGAGACATTATGCTTCACTTGACAATGCTCACATCTCATTCATCAATTCCATGTCTAATAACATCTCCAGCTTATCGACAATGCTGACAATGCTGCGTGTCCCAGGAAGACACGATACACACAAGACGAAACTGGACCGCAATTCCACGAATGCACTTGCATCCATCAGCCGACACTTCGGTCCTTTTTCACGCTCCAGATTACACTCCAATGCGTTCCATCTCTGGGATACGAGATACACTACGGCAGAAAAGCACCTGAGCCGCTACTTCAATATCCAGCCGAGCTTTCTTCTCACGCATTAATTGTCCGTAGTTCGTGAAGGATTCTGTGAATGGAGTCGATACAGCACTCATGCATAAATACTTTTTCGCAAGTCGAGCGAGCGGGGGAACAAGCGCCGATAACGACCCCACCACTCGAGAGGGTCGTGCTCAGTATCGTCTGTAGCTGGCAAGGACGGGGAATCCAAGTACTGTTGCACTTGTGCCTTGACTTTTTCGATCTCGGTCGCGGGCTCATCCAACGGGAAAAACTCGTGCAAAAGAGCTGCTGTCTTCTTGTTCGGTAGAGCAGCATCATCAACTGGGACACTCGACGCATTCCCATTTTCATCCTGTTTCTTCTGTTCGTCTGTCTGGTTCTCATCTGCTGCCGGATCAAGGTGATCTCGACTGTCGTCCGTGACGTTCTCCTTCTCATGGACCCCGAGAAGCTCGTACAGTGAATCGACTAGCTGCTCCTTCTCTAATGTCGACAGAAACGGCAACGTCTTAAAGCGAGGATCGAATAGACACGACAAGTACGCAGACGACGGAGTCTGGCCGGACGAACAGAGGTCCATGTTGAGACTCGTGACAATGGCATCACGCACCGTTGCGACAAGCGGATCGGTCACCCATGCAGCAGCATCCGCCAGATGCTTCTTCAGCGAATGTAATAGCGGATACACAAGAGACAACCCCGCGTACACATGCGGCGAAACGTGCACCAACCCTTCGATGCGGTCAAGAAGTCGGGCAAGTTGCTTCAATGTTGCCCACTCTTCAGGTGACAACTCGCAACACACGAATCGAAGCTGCATGGGTCTCCGAGCCGGATTCGTATCGCTTTCGAGACCCATTTTGTACCGCAAAAGTATCGGTTCTAGCTGGACAATGCGACACATCATTTCTGTCGTGGAATTCCAGCGGTCGTCGAAATCGCAGATCACGGGCAATGCCTCGCTAGATTTGCTACTCGACGCAGACGTCGATGGAGCAGTGCGAAAGCTCGCAGCAGTAGAAGTAGCATCATCCGTAGCCGCGTACGAGGATTGACCCTCCTTGACACCGTCTAATTCGTCGCCTATCGTTGCGTTGCCACTCTCCGTGATGCTTACGCTGACACCATCCGCTGTCGCAGCAAAGGACGCTGCTTGTGTGTGAGCTGCAGAAGTCGCGGAGGCCTCTTCGCTCATATTGCGCTGAAGAGCGAGAAAGATCTGGTACTCGGACGGGTTCTGGATGAAATACGAAACGTACGTGCGGCACCTACGGGTGAGATCGGCGCACGCACGCAATCCGCTCGAGACCGCGCCTTCTAACTCCTCCACAAAGCATCTCACAACAGCCAGACCTGGATACTCGCTATGGATCGCATCTGCTTCCGCCTGTGCTTCGGCCTGCACTTCTGCAGCTGACTGTAGAGTAGCCAAGTCGTCTTCGCGTGCACTACTCGTCGTAGGTATGTGAGGACGCATCGTCAGTGCTGCAACTTTCGACGATGGGATGTCCCACTTCTCCATGACGTCTCGTAGCAGCGCGATGGTGTTCACGCGTTCATCCAGAGGTAGCACGTATACTTCCAGTACACAGTCCCGACGTCGGAATCCCCGAGAAATCCAATGACCACTGACACTGAGCACGTTTTGACCAAACGCTGACGTCCAGTTGTTCAGTGACAAACTCAACACTTCAACGTCTGCTACCACCTCCTTCAGAATCCCTCGCTGCGAGTAGTACAGGTTTGCCAAAGCGAGTTTCAAGGTCTCTTCCGATGGCAGCTTCACACCAGCGTAACCCATGCCGTAGCTGGCACCGTACCCTGAAGAAGCTCCTCCGTATCCAAAACAATGAGGTCCAGACATCTTCGGCCACTCCGTCACTCCGCCCATGAACAGCATCCCCAACTCGGCGCTCACGTGGGAAACGTCCAGTGGCTCGTACTGTGCAATGAGAAACTGCAGCAGTCGATGCGTCAACATCTTGAGACTCACAGCAGATGCAGCAGCAGCAGCTGAAGCTCCCACAGTCCCGTGACCTCCAGCAGCGCCACTACAAGTCCCGCCACTTCCAGCACAAAGTCGACGACCACGTCCACCGAGTCCTCCAGACCCCGTCATTGCTGTCGTCGTCGCAGTGGTAGCCGCTGCCCCAGGGAGCGGAGAGGAACAGTCCCCGAACCGCGGATCCACGAGTCCCACCGCGTCCATTCCCGCGTCGTGGAGCTCAAAGCCCACAGGAAACTGCAACGCGCCTCCGGACGTGGCTGTCGCACATGTCGCAGCCATCGACCCAAACGACGCAGCAGCCGCATCGAACTCGGACGCGAGCGCGGCATTTATCGTCCCGTAGTCGCTCGCCAGTCTCTTGCTCAAGAGGCTGCTGCCATTGCTGGAGCCACAGCTGCTGCTGCTGGCGGCGACGCGTCGACGGGCGATCCGGAGCTCCCCAACGAGCTGCTGTTGCTGTTGCAGTTGCAGTTGGTGGAGAGGGCGGGGTTTATGGTGTGCACCACACGAATCGTGGCCCGGCCCAGCCGTTGCGACTTGGTGTGTCCCGTCTGACGACGATGACGGGAGCAAGAGCTGCGATGTTGAAGTTGCGGGTCCAAAAGCTGAAGCAGCTGGTGCGCCGTCCCCAGACGACGCGGTGATTGGCTGGCGGCGCCCGTGACGACGGTACGACGCGCCTCTTGAGTGGCGGTCGTAGTCCGCGGGACTTTTGCCGGGCGCGTATTTCTGGTGCTTCTGGCGCAAGTGCCGGTTCATGGTGCTCGTGCCGCCAGAGTAGGCGAAGCGCGTCGTCTGCGACGGACAGAGCGTGCAGATGACGAACTTGCCGCTCGCGTCTTTGACGAAGTAGTCCCAGATGAAGCTGGGGAGGGCCAGAGCCGAGTCGGATTTGGTCCGACCACTGCTGCGCCCACGACGACGGGCAGACGAGGCGGCGGCGGCGATGGGTGACGCATTGTCCACGAACGACGATGACGACACGTCGGCGGCGTCTGGGGGCGGCTTGGAGTGATGAGCAGGGTCGCTCTCGACGGTGGCGCTCGGTTCGAGCAGGAGCGCATCGGGGTCCATGGTGACCGCGTTTGCCTTGGTGAATGTATGGCGCTGCGGTTCACCTCCGCCAGTGATTGAAGTGAGCCAATCGATGCAGGCACTGGAGAGCTCCAGCGTCTTGTGATTGGTGGAATGTCAGAGGATGCGGAAGGGACGGGAATGGCGATTGTCATTCGATGAAATGAATACGAGTGCAAAAAGGCGGTGCGTAAACATGCTTAATGCACAACCAATTGACAGATCGAATGGATCTTATGACCTAAAAAGGGTCAACTTTGAAGTCAAGTAATCGATTGTAGCAGTGGGTGATTACGGTGATGAGATCCATTGCTAGTGATCACTGTCATCCGCCACAGCTGAACGTGTCGAGTGACACTGTCCAAAGTGAATTGTACAGCCACCGCGGTTCGTGCCAGCAATTGCGTGCGTTTGATGCTCAGTACTGCACACAACATGCACCGCTTGTATGTTGTGTCTACACCTTTTCTGCGCGTAATCAGTGCAGCGCAACCAGCATAAGATGAAGAGCAAGCGTAAAGCATGTCGTGTAATAGTTTGCATGTGCAGTCTATAGTGCCGGCAACAAGTTGGCCTAATAGCAATATGCATACGACTATAGCAGCAAAGAATGTCGTACTGCGAAGACTGACACTACCAGCCGATCGGCTTTGTAGTCATGGTCGGGCACAGTCACGCTATCGAATACCCACAACTGAAGACTGATAGGACAGGACAGCTAGGGACGGACATTCAGCAAGTCTATTGAGAATTAGGAAATTGCTAGCCTGTCACCAGGCCGTAACGCATCGTGTATGTCAAAAGGCCAGGTGATTCTACAGGTGCTGTCGTCTACGTTGAGCTAAAATGAATCACAATACCAATCAACTCTTCGCGACGTACAACTTGATCGTGCTGTTGTTGAAGCGGTGAATGATAGAACAATGAAAAACGCACTTGTCTGTGCCCATCGATGCGTAAACATGTCGCACTCAATCAGATTACTTTGCTTGTACGTGTGTGAAGCGACATCAAAAGAGTCTCATCGAACGCTGTGTTGCATGTGTGCCTTCCAGCCTTTGACCATCATGACCTTTTCAACAGTACGTCTTGTGCGAGGCAGTTGTCCGTTCCCATTTCGCAGGTTGGTTATTTGCACCTAGTCAGCGACGCACTTGTTTACTGAAAAAAACTCGCGATTACGTCTGCTTCAATAAATAAGTACGACTCGATACAACCATTTGACGCACATAGACCGTTCCGGGCTTGTTAAGTCAGCTGCGAGCGACAACGACGTTAACGCTTTTTTGTGTTGACGCATTACACTTTAGTGCAACATTTCGCTCACCCGATCCACTCGAGCAAAACCTCGGAAATGAGTTCATTTCGCAGCAATAGTTTATCGAGTATAGTTCGAGCGAAATCATTCGCTAACCAATGGACAAAATGGTGCGGCAGAGTGCCCGAGTCCAGATGGTCACGGAGAAAGTCGTGACGGCTGTCGCCACGTCGTCCCGAGTTGCCAAAAAGCGCAAAAGCGCCGTCTCTGCCGCGACAGTCTCGTCTCCAGTCACAACTGAGTCATCTTCTGTTGAAATAAAGAAGACCAAGACGTCGTCGAGCGCCACTGCAGACAAAGGCGCATGGGGAGTCCTATTTGCACCTCCGACCACGAAGAAGCCAGATCGGGTGCGACCACTGGCTGCTGCGCCCGTCTCCACGGAACTCCAGCAACAGATCGACGCGTTTCCGCGTTTTCAAGACGTTTCGAGACGATCAGACGAGACGGTTCAGTTCAAAATTGTCGCATGGAACGTCAATGGTCTTCGGGCGATCCTCAAGCGAGACGATAGTGTCCACCTGCGTGCTTACGTGGCTCAGGAAGATCCGGATATCGTCTGTCTCAGTGAGACAAAGATCTGCCGCGACGAGCTACAGAAACTCGAGGACTTTCTGCCGCAGTACGAGCACCAATTTTGGTCCTGTGCAGTCAAAAAAGGGTACGCGAGCACAGCAGTTTTCTGCAAGACGAAGCCACTGCGTGTGCGAGACGAGATTGTCGTGGGAAGTCACGCGTCAAAAGGGAGTGACGAGTCGGAGAATGGGGAAACGGACCAAGAAGGACGTTTCTTGGCATTAGAATTCGACAAGTTCTGGCTGGTGCACACGTACGTCCCGAATGCTGGAGGCAAGTTGGAACGGCTGAGGTACCGAACCAGTCAGTGGGATCAAGCCATGCTGCGTGAGATGAAGGAGATGGAGAAGACAAAGCCCGTCATTTGGTGTGGAGACCTGAATGTCGCGCATCACGAGATCGACATTCATAGCCCAAAGGGTAACCGCAAAAGTGCTGGATTCACGGATGAAGAGAGACAGAGCTTTAGTGAGATCTTGGACAGTGGATTTGTGGATACATTTCGCCGCTTGCATCCAGAAAAAGTCGAGTACTCGTATTTTGGATACCGACACAATATGCGAGCAAAGAAAAAAGGATGGCGACTTGACTATTTTGTCGTGTCGGAAGCACTGATGCCAAGAGTGGTACGTCTAGTGATGGAATGCCAGTTGTGCGAGTGCGTTTCGACTAAGCACTGTTTACATGATCTTGTTTTCTGCAGCGATCGTCATTTATCCGGCAAAGTGTTACTGGCAGCGATCATTTGCCTATTGGACTGGAGCTTGGAGACCTCTCGTGAGCTGCTGTCTTCGATACGGGGCGAGTGTGCGCAAGGACCATCTTGAACGAATATCTTACACTACTTGATCGGTTGGGTGTGCAGCATGCTGACCCATTACACTTACGCCTTGTTTATTCGTCAATGACAAGATGCGTTACAAGGATATTGACTGGTTAATGTCGAACATTGCCTACCTCGATCTCTTGAGCATGCAGTTGTCATAACGGATGATTCTAGGCTACAAAGTTCGTACCGCTATTGACCGATCGGACAAATGTAATGCAACTGTATCGAGAAGTATACATAGGTCTATCCAAGTGCAAGTGTCAGTGTCTCGCCGATGCGGTATGTCCAGACCTTGATCCTTGTCTCGACCACGTGACGTAGATGTTTAAGGTCATGCTACAGCTACTCATTTTCTGCTTCAGATCTGATAAGCCATCGAAACAGCCAGCAAGTGATCAAAGTTTATATGGTTTGGAGCGTTTCTGGGTAGCGAAAACAAACCTGCAAGATCACAAATAGGTGTCCGCTCAAAAAACTACTTACTTGCCAAGACTGAATGCACATGGTGTTGCTTATATCGCTTGAGTATCGACGTGCTCCAGCTTTAAAGTGATGTATGTCAATACAAGACTTTGACATTTATAAATGACGCAGAATGCTTCTTAACACAGCCGAGTCTAAGGGAAGTGAAAGACGGATTTTAGTAGTCACCAACACTTGGCGAAATAAGGTGTTCTTCGCTCTTCGAACTCACATCATGTAGATATTGTTGTAGCTCGGGCATGTTTTGAATTACTCGTTACTGGTCGACAATCTACTTTTGTAATGAATAGCTCTTCGGACTTGGTCAATTTATCAAACGATTTATGCTGACGAGAAAATTACGAAGTAAAAAATAGACAGCAACAGCATTTCTAGGATATTGGCAGTTGTCAATCACAGAACATCGGGGGCTTGATCGCGAGATAATTCTCAACACTTTGCGTAAGTTAAACGGCCGAAGAAAATGTAAACAAATTTGCACGTGTATTGACATCGGTACCGCAGACATGTTGCATTAATGTATGTTCGTACTAACTTTTTTGATGTTTGCTTCAAACTATATAGGTTAGTGTCCACACCGATAAGCTGCGTCCTTTGTGTCGTTCCCGATGGCTACATGATCCTTCTACAGGGTACTGCTATCAATGTTGTGAATACAGTGTGAGAAGATATCGGAGCTTTCGCACAAATCTAATTGCAACAACCTGCGCGAAATGCTAAATGTCATCATTTTTCATCCAGCCTTCGCTTCGGATGAAGCCGTGTCGAGCTGATCGCCTTGGTTCACTTGAATTCGTCCGCCGTGGAGCCTGTAGCTTATCCCTTTGCATACATGCAAAGCGGTCCTAAAGCAGCCATCGTGGTGGCATTTCAATGACTCGATCAGTTAGTTTGTGAATATCTTAGGTGGCAAGGTCATCGCTCGTATGTAATTTATAGAGTGAGTAAAAACTGAGGGTAGAATTGACGACTTCAAAATATTGTGAAACATTTTGAACATTCTGAAGAATGCTTGCAAATATGAACGGGATAGCTTGATCTATGGAGATGAGTAATAACGTCAAAAAGCCTTAGCGTAAAAACATAAAAACACCTAAACATAAAACTGGCTTGTGAAAACGTACCCCTAGAGGTATACACAGGTTCAACCTCTCATTGAGATACGTCGAGTCAAGATATGCACAACATACTAGCGAAGTCGCGATACTCTTCACCACGCACTTTTGCTTTCTTCCGCAACAAGAACATGATACAAAATTAGATCTGACTAGTAGTCGTCACAACTGTGTCGTGTTCCACAGCGTCACCTTCAGCAATTCTGGCAAAATCAATATCAAGCTTGAATTTGACCGACGTTTACGTGTCATGCTTTATTCCCATGTTATGTATGCCCAGTGTTGTCGCACAATGAAGCTATCTCGCTCTTGTTCTGTATAGTACTCTACGCCTACAAAGTACTTTACAATACAGATACCACTTACAACGCTGCGGTTGCCTTTTTTCTTAGTCCCCTCTACCCTAAGGAGGCTGGACTTCGAATATCACAGATCTGCCATTTGAGACTGTCGCAGCTTCAGCTGAGCTCTTCACATGCGCTCCAGCTCCGAGTCAGGTCGATCTCACTGACATTCACTCTTTCATCCGTAGCTGTCTAGCCTAACAATGAACTCTGCATCACGTTCTAATGATGATGATGCTGCCCCACCACCTACTACAAGCAGCCAGGGCATTTTTTTCCCGAAACAAGATGCCACGTCAGTAATTGACGCAGGCAGTAGCAGCAACAGTGACCACGACGCAGAAGCACTCAGCAATGACGACGATGGAGTCCAAGAAGAGTCTCCTGCAAGTCGCTTAGAGGCTGGACACTCGGTTCGTGGTCAAAAACGTCGACAACGAATTCACTTTGACGTACTGCAATTAAAGTCAGTTTTTCACCTGCCGTTAAAGACGGTGAGCGCCCTTTTGCGTCAATCTAGCGTCTGTGATCTCAACATGTGCGCACTTCGTGCGACACACTGTTTGCATCGCTTTTTTATAACTAAAAAAATTAGTAGCTCGACAAAGATGAAAAGATGACGAGTATATGACAATGTAACAATAACAATGACTACAATTTGAAATGTGACTAGGCGGCCGAACGACTTGGTATCTGCGAAGCGGCTCTCAAACGGATTTGTCGACGGAATCAGATCTACAGATGGCCGTACCGTCAATTGTCGTCTGTACGTCGACGCATTGCAGAGCTCAATGACCGCCGTGCTGAACTCCTCGCGGAACGTGGCGGTACGAAGACTATACCAGCGTCATAGACGTTTCCTTGATTGACAATCCTACAAATGTCATCTTTCAGACGAGCTCACGAGTTTCGCATGTCACCAATGCCTAGAACTCCCCACATTGGTGACGGCAGCCCAATTTGAATCCAAAATACAGGAACTAAGAGCGGAAGAGGATGAGATCATTCGAATGGTTCTTCGACCCCACCATCGGCTGGTGGAAACAACAACTAGGTCGATTACGACCAGTGAAGACAGTTCGTATGGGAAGTCTTCTCAGCACTATGGACAACGTCCGATCCTGAACGAGGAATTTTATTTCCATCTTCAAGGCTGTCAAAGTGCCATTGCGAACTTACCGCCGCTGGATCTCGGCCGAGTGGATCGCGATTTTCCGCTGTTGTTCCTAGCGAACGTGTGTGAGTCCGTTCGAACTTATTACTACAGAAAGGAAAACGTTTAGCGCCCACCAGGTTTTCGCAAACATCCCACCAGAATTTCGCAAACAACCCACCAGAATTTCGCTAACCACCCACCACCCTTAAACATTACCGTAATTTACTAGATTTACGCCTTGTGATTGGTAGGTTTGAGATTATCGCCATTTTCAGAAGTAATTTATAATGATATTTACAAATGATAAAATACGAGATCTAAATATTTTATGCATGTCATCAAGTCGGCGACATTTAAAAATATATCATTCAGCTACTTCGTCCACTATATACTGGAAGCCGAGCAGCAAGTCATGGCGGCAACCTACGGTAAGGTCAGTCCGCATGAGTAAGTACACTACACTTTCCTGATTGTATTGCAATTGATCGCTTTGACCACCATACAGCATTTATCTTCAGATTCCAGCGAGACCAAGATGCTATGATTACAATGAACAGTGCTTATTTCACAGAAGGAGAAAGTGCTGTCAAAGAGGTACAGTGGTACGTGTGGGTTCTGCTTATGGCGCGAATCTGTGTTGGTTACTAAAATCTTTGCGGCTGTGCTCTGGTCTGTGACTAGACAGCGTACGTGTGACAAAAGCGAATCAATGGGTAACTATTTGACGCTAATGAAGTAACGTACCTCGACTTTTGTGATCGCTGATGTAGTAAAGGATACAAAAATCGCATAAAAAAGGTTACTGTTGCGAGCGACGAGTGAGAAAATTTTACCTGCAGCCAAGAGTAGGAGGTCGACAGGGTTACACCACTACATGGCTATCTTACGGTAAGATTATTCCGCGATAGATGACAAAACAATTGTGGTGGAAAGATTGGCGAGTTCGGTGATGAAAGTGATTCTTTATCTGATGTTGTGGTGTGTAATGTAAGTTTAAATTGGATGAATTTTCGACAAGGATATTCTCGAATTTGTCAATGAGAAGGCGTAAATCGTGTAAATTACGGTAATGTATATTTCCGACGGCGATTATCCCAATCCTACCAATCAGAAGGTGCATATCGAGTCAATTACGGTTTATTACAAAGGTGGTGGGTAAATTAACGAAAACCTGGTGAGTGGTATAAGTTCCCTGGATAATTTGTAAATTCGCTTTGTTATGGCGCCAATCTAAGGATGCTGATCTGGTACTTTAAATTCGCTTCGTTCTGTGTTTACCACTAAAGAAGTAGTATTACAATCGCTAATGTAACGAACTGTTACACACTTTTGTTATAGCCCGAATCTCATTGTTTATGCTTTAAAGTGGAGACTAGCAATCAGACAAAGTGCTTCCGTATCTTGTATGACGTGGATTACACAGTAAGATTTCTTCAGCTCGCACTACAATACATTTGCCGATACAAACTTGCTGCACGATTCTGCTTCTTTAGTAATAAAATCGACGCATGTTATTTGCAGTCTAGAGGTCATAAGACTTACTCATGAGCGCCGTGTAGAGTCGACTGACTACCACTGATACTGGTATGTGTAGAGTATACGCACCCTGAATGGCCATTAGTACAATCTCGTCACCGCCAGATTACAACAACCATATTTACATAAACTTCTAATGCGTCAACGTGACTACGTTAGAGTCTTTTGTGAATGAGATGTACGATAATTTCGCTTTGCATCAATAGAAACTGAACACACTTAGCAAGCAAATCGGGAGCAGATAATCGCAAAAGGTAGGCATGCGCTGTTACGAGGTGCCTCCGTTACATGATACTTTATATACGGCAAATATCAAGTATAAACAATATGCTAGGACAAACGTTACATTATCACAACATTGGCTTAACAAGCAATACTATGTTGCAGAAGTAATACACTGCTCATTAATTGAAAAAAGGGTTATGATATCAACCAATTAAGCCGAGCTACCACTAAAGAATGCAACGAGTGGTGAGCAGATAGTTACAATACACGTTTGTATTTAGGCATAGTTTTTAAGGAAAATTAAATAGGATTTGTTGTCAGGAGATTAACTATAGCAATTACAGTTCTACCTTTACTTTTTCTCTCGTGTTGAAACTTTCCTCCTTATGACGCGTGTACGTGAAGTCTCGAGGCACCATCTCACCCTGAGTTCAGTGAAGCAGCTGGTTCTGTGACAGTACAAGCGATTGGTGCTCCGTTACATACACCCATTACTACCAGAGGGCATCCAGATTTAACATTAAACAGTGTTCAAATAGCAAGTACTGTACAAGTGGGATATTATCAAAAGCACTTGCCTCCTACTTTCAGCAAGATAGTTGTTGGGTCGATAAAGCCAAATTACGAGAAGCTGATGCGCCGGCTGAGAACATATGTCATAGTTTATCAGACGCCATGAAAACGTAATTTGATGACATGAGCCTGGCAATTTGTGCGAAGCGCAGAGCATCGTGAGCTGTGCTACATGAACGGCTTGAGAATAAGCTTGCACTTAATAATCGTTATGCCGCATGTAACGGATATGAAATCGAGTTTAAAGTGGCTGTATGATTTTTCGAATCGTTACTATAATCGTATCATAGAAATCACTCGGTAATGTAAATATCTAGTGACCATGCAATTCGAACAGAACCAGTCAGCGTTACGATGCTCCAGCTTTGTATGATAAATCGGATAATCAATGTTAGCTTTGCTGAAGATGGGGCAGATGGAACTTGTCTTATATTTAAACGCAGAACACCTATCGATTGTCCTTTATGACGCGCACGTCTTATATTGCGCAGGCTTTAATACTTTTAATCATTTACTTAAAAATTTCATTCTATTTGACACATTGAGCACTAGCATATGCTATGTTTGACCCCGTTGCGCCCCATTTGCGAAAAGTATTTGTACTACATCAAACACATATTCAAAATGTCTTGCACAAGTTTTATAGTGGCCGGTAACACGGACAAGTGGAAAATATTCAATGCAGCAGTAATTTATTGCTTGTGTAATTAATTTGCATCGGCCAGGAGCGTTCATCAACACATTCAAAGACTGTACCTAAGCTGTTGCACATCACTTCAAGTAGCATGTTTTGTTTTGGCTGTGGCAGGCTACACAATGTTTACCTCGTGCACCGGAACCAGGATCATATCAACAAAACAGCAACCTACGCTGCACCTTCCGCTGTATCACATAGAAAGACTTACGACAAACGGAATATCTAATCACTGCAAGGTTGTTGACATTCGACTAGCTGACATATAAGTGCTTCTCATCCGGGTACATTTAGAGTATTTACATTCCTATGCTTTGCTAACTTAGCGCATTCGCCATAGGACCATACCAACATACTTCCTGCCACCAAGCACTACGTCAAACCTGCATAATTAAGGTGTTGAGTTTATCCTTCATGTAATGGCCTGCGATTAGACTACTCTTACCACCTCTCTGAGCGATAATGAACGAAAACATTTCCAATTTTGACAGATCAGCTATGATGAAACAGAGGTGCTTGCAGATCCGGTTAGTAGGAACAAGGTAAAACGTACGACTGTCATCGACTATCTAAGCAATACAGGATCGGAGTATAGCATCCTGTCTACAAACAATTAGCATGCCAATTAATTGATAGGGGCACCAAAAACGGTCGACCTTGCTGCTCAATTGAGATATCAACAGATGGTCGTCAAAGTTCTAAAGTCATCGATGCAGTGGTCATAGGCTGACAGCTCATGTGCATCCACAATTGTTTACACATATCCGAATAAAGTAATAAACACTTCATCTTGGACTTAGCTGATGTTAATCCAAAGCACCTGCCGCAGAGGCTTACAATACACGTGTAGATGAAAAAGGCGGTGAGGTGCTTCCTCCAGATCCAGCTGTTGGGGCACAGCCGATATTCTAGTCGCTCTGATTCGTATCTGATGCATCAAATAAATACATACGAACACTGAATGAGAAAAGTGCAGCGGATAAAGTAGAAGATAAAAGCTAGCCGAGCTGGTTAGGTGTGCACAGTAGATTAACCGGCACACGTATTTACCGCTAGTAGACGGAAAGTGTGAAGCTGAGAAAAGTGTACCGACGGCAATTATGAGGATTATAATGTCAGAAATGGTCCTGCTGCCTGGACCTGCAATATTTATCAATTTTATTTGGATATGCCTCTTCAACTGTATCAGCTAGAGCAGGCTCTACGGGATTCTACTCGACAGATAACATCGATGGATTTTATTGTGTAAGATATTTTTTACAACATCCTTATTCGTCATCGTATCTCGAGATAAAATAAAATTCGTATTTGCAGCATTTGATCAGGATAAATGTTCGTCCATCGTTTCTGCTTTCTCCGCGCTGATGCACATTGCTTTTTCACATAGTTTAGGGTATTGTTTATTGCATCCCAATTTTTACTAAGTACACCCCGTACACCACACCCGTACTCTACCACAATATCTTTTATACGACGATTATTGCTCCTACCTACCTCTGTGCGACCACTATCGTGCAACGATCTGTTTTTGTCGCGCAATTGGTAAGTGACTATTTAAAAAGCCTATTTTAGCACACAAAAGAGGAATGCAGCTTTTTACTCTCGTATAAACGAATGTATTAACGAACACGACGCACTCGTCACAACATGTCGGAGTTTTTAAACGTCTATTTGCTGTTTAAGATACGGACCAGCTTTGTTTTAGTTTAGAAAAGGCAAAAAAATGAGTTAAACATTACTTCACCTTCACTAAACGTAATTGAATACATGCGCAACAAAATTTACCGCTAAGAACGATAAATCAACATGTACAGCTGTATTTCTTAATCAAGCCTATCGTTGAGATTTGTGTTAGGACCTGATCACTGTTGGTCGGATAATTAAACGATTGTCCAGCTGCACGACACGTATTCGATCTCCATCGTCCGAACGGGTGCGTAAGGTCTCTTTCCACCAGGTGTGTCAACACGTATCTTGTGTTCGGTCTAGCTCCAATTTTAGTCCCGAAAGAGTAATGCAATCCACATACGGATTCCCAAAACAACGTACGACGAGCTGACGTCGTAATGTTGACCCTGCAAGATGCTACAGACGCGCAATATTTGTTTTTCTTCTCGATTTTGCTACCTTGTGCTTACTACTATCGATACAAATTTTGCTACTAAAGCGGGTGACGAAGACTAAGGGCTGCTTGCGTGCTCAATGCTGGTTTCAACCGACGCTGTGGCCATTTTCGCAGGTACGAGATAGACTGGTAAATCCACTTACTACTTGTACGACAGATACAGATTGTTGTGCGATAGTGGTCGCACGTTGGTAGGTAGGCGCGATATTCTTCGTACAAAACATAATTTGGTGTAGAACGGGTGTGGCGTATGGGGTGTTTTTAACAGCACCGATAATTTAGTACAGTCGTAATAAAGCCTAATACGCACCATCACGTTTATCAATTTCGATTATTTTCGGTCAAAAGCATCGCAATTTTGGGTCGTACATGAAATGTGAAAACTTGGCGGCAAGATATTTTGATACGCTCCACGCACGCGCAGAAATTCTCAAAGAAACGCGGAGAAAAACGTAATTGTGATCTCTTCGCAAAGTTGTTGTCGCTAGCTATCGGAACACGATAAGGGTCTAATCCGTGAATGTATACACGACTCTCAACCCTGCATATACGTGAGGCCAAGCATTTATACTTGTCTGGATTGAGTTTGGCTGCAAGATGATCAGTTCTTCAATCCTGGCAATTAACAAGAAATAAGTTAAACGCGACGGCATGCGACAGTTGGCCAAGTCGTGCACCTCTCAATGTTTATGCAGACACCAATGTCCAATGGTTGGTCCACATTGGATCAACTCGATCTGCTTTCGGGACAAACCACCCTGTGGATTCATTCAATCGCTTTGAACGAAGTCTGAGCTCGTCTGTCGTCACTTCCTCTCAGAAAGTGGTTCGCACTCGCACACTGGCCCAAAACTCAGTGTTCGTCTTGCAGTCTCACCATCAAGCACAACGCCGACACTAGCACCTCCTACAAGCGCCATGGCTGTACGTTTGTCACGACCTTAACTTGCTCGTAATTACGTGTTTAACTCTTGCTTTGTTTTGAAAACTCACAGACGCCTTCCAACCCACAAGGCGTGATCCATTTAAAAGATGATGCAACGTACGACAAGTCGCAGTTCCTCGTACCTCAGCACTATTTGGACAGTGTCGAGTCGGTGCTGATACCCAGAGGCCTCATCGAAGACCGCGTCGAGAAGCTCGCGCAAGATATTCGCTACACTTACAAGGGTGAGACCGTGCACCTGCTGTGTGTCCTCAAGGGCGGCAGCGCCTTCTTCCATGCGCTCGTGGAGAAACTGCGATTGTTCCACAAGTATAACCAGTGCGACTACGTGCCCTTCACCTTTGACTTTATCAAGGTGAAGAGTTACGAAGGGCTAAAGAGCTCTGGAGACGTCCAAGTGTCCGGTGCCGACTTGGCCAAGTTCAAGGGCAAGCACCTCTTACTAGTGGAAGACATTATCGACACGGGCAAGACAATGACGAAACTCGTGCCGCTGCTTAGTGGATACGAGCCGACGTCGGTGCGTGTAGCCAGTTTGCTGGAAAAACGTAACCCCGAGAGTTGCGGCTTCAAGGCTGACTTTGTGGGGTTCAGTATCCCGGACAAGTTTGTGATCGGCTACTGTCTCGACTACAACGAGACGTTCCGCGATCTCGACCACATTTGCGTCATCAGCGAAGCCGGTATCGCCAAGTACGCTCAAAAGCAATAGAAAACGAAGACTGCGCGTGCCTCGTCATTTTAAAAAACAATCTCAAAAAGTGTCGACTTTTAAATCAAAATCCATTTTTGATCCTTTGTCGTCTTTGATTCAGTACTGCATCACGGCAACCTTCTATACCACGTCACAGAGCAGCTAGGTGCGTTGCAGACTACGGAACTGCTCGGGCGTCATGGTCCGGATCGTCATTCCGTGCATCGTCTTGATCTCTTCCTTTAGAACCTTGAGCCGATAAAAGCAATTGCGACAGAAAAGAAGAAGTTTAATTCAGTAGCTGGTATAATTGTTATTTTATCCAATCAGTTCTCGTTAAAAGAAGTCGCACCTCGTTAACCATTCGGTGCTGTTTGACCCGCGACTGCCCCGCAAACTGCGCCGACGCGACTTCGACGTCAAACATGGAGCCGCAGCCGCCAGATACGTCCGTCACCTTGACGTGCTCTGCCTTGAGCTGCTGCTGAAGCGCCGTGTGCATCGCCTGCTCAGCTTCTGAACCGGTCCCATCAGCGCTGGACGAGAACCACACGCGACTTGAAGCTGGGCGCTTAGCCGCCGCCATAATCATCATCCGTGTCCTCATAGCGCCTGATAACATCCTTCTAGACTCGAGTTTAGTATGAGCCGCTCAACTCGTAAAAACAAGTATCTTAAAGATAAACATAATTGGACAAAAAAGGTTTAGGCGAGGATGTGCACGGGATTGATTATCGACCAATCCAATTCATTCGCTCGAATTGTCGACGTCACTTCATTGCAGCCTCATGTTCTTCTGCTGCGGACCCCCGCGCATCTACGCCGCGTCTGGCGCACGCGAGCGGGTGGAGGATGTAGCACTGGCTATGCACCCATCGAATTATGTGTTCGCGCGCGTCACGTCGACTGGCGTGACGCTGTGGGGCGCATCGCTCGGCCTGCCAGGCACGGGTCGCCGTCTTCTGGCGCGTTGCCACCGCAGGGGGCAGAAAGTCCAGCAGCTGGCAGAAGACGGGGATAGTGCCGAGTCTCTAGTCGAAAAGGAACCGCCTCGTCTACTGTATGCCGCATGGGTATTAGGGGAGTGTCTAGCTGTCGTCGAAAAAGGTGCGCAATCCGTCGAGTTTTATGCATTCGATGGATTGCGTGAGTTGCTTTTGCGCCATGCGACATGTGAAAGTGACGAGTGGACGGACGACAGTGTGTTGGCGTTCGATGACGTAATCAATGAATCTGATGCAACATTGGACGAATCATTTGTCATGGCGTTGCCGCAAAAGGAAACGAACGGGGCAGACGAGACAACGGCAACTTCAACGAGACTTCGACTTGCCGCCAAGTTTGTCAATGATTACCCACTGAATCAGGGCACATCTCAGAGTGATTACGAAGACGTGGCTGCTTCAATGAGCACTGTGCCGGGCAGCAAGTACCTGTTTGTAGGGATGGCGAGTGGTATGATTTGTGTCGTGGAAGTTGACAACCGCGTCCACCAGAAAGAAGGAGAAGGGTCCACCTGGTTTGGCAACTCGGAGGGCTTGACCAAGATTTGGAAAATTGATGTTCGCTCGCACTTAGCAGTATCAGACGAGGCGACGCCGGCAAGTTGCTATGCGCTAACATGCGCCTCGCCCGGAGGGTGGCCATCTGAGATTACGTCGTTGCACTTAATCGCCACTTTTGAAGGGGGAAAGTGTTTCATCATGGTACTGTCTCTTGTTCAGAAACGTATTGACCAATTGCTGTCGCTTGTCAATACGGAGAAAGATGGCGACACGTCGACTGCGACATGCGCGAATGGCAACGGACGGTGCACAACGACGTGTCTGGACACAAACGGGACACAACTGGCTCTTGGCTGGTCAGACGGCGGAGTGTCACTGTTTCGATTGTTGTCCAACAGTGCGGACCAAGTGAGCAAAAAAGAGCCAAAACATGAAACCGCCGTTGCAGCGACAGGACGGGTGTCGCAACTGGCTCTCGAGCCGATCCGAGAGTTGAGTCTCGTCTCATGGGGATATACCTCAGAAGATACGGGATCAGTCACGGCTTTAGCGTGGTCTAGTGATGGTCAAAGCGTTGCAGTAGGTTACGCACGACGCGGTTTCTCGCTCTTTGCCACCGACGGCTGTCGTTTGATGTCGACGTTGCCGCAGCATAATCAGGAACGACCTGAAAAGATTGATGATCACAACATGAAGGAAGTCTGCGCCTTTGGTGTACTCGATATGCTGTGGACCAAAGAAAGCAATTCGCTGATTGTAGTGCCTCGAGGAGAACAGTCGACGCAATTAATGCCGTTGCCAGAAGACCAAATCCTGCAAGAAATTGAGGATGAGGCCGATGTAAAGGTGACGCAGGTCGCAGATCTGGCGGAACAGGTGCATGCAAAGGTGGAGAAAGGAGAAGACGGTCTGTGTTTGTCCTTGTCTGGTGCACTCGGTCGTTGTGGTGCATGGGTTCGGAGCGAAAGGAGTTTTACGAAACGAGGTGTTGATCAAGGTGTAGGGCCGGCGGAAGCGTGTGGACTGATCCAGGGTGGCGACTTATTGGTGGCTATCAACGATAACGACCAAGTCGTCAACTTGGCGTTCGAGCAGATTGTCAGTGAAATAAAAGGGCTGCCGAACAACAAGACAGTGGCGCTTACGCTGCTTCGTTTGGAATGGGATGAAGTGTTCCCGCTAGCTGTTGAAGCGCTGTCGTCTACTGAGTTTATGGATGCGCACGGCATTCACTTGCTCGACGACGAGAACTTGTGCATTCAAGAGTATGCTTTACGTATGCAGGCGCTGCATGGAGATTGCGATTCGGAAGACCGCCCGCCTCTTATGGAGTTTGAGCGCCGCGCAAAGTTTGATGGGTGGGAAGCGATTCGAGGCTTTACGTGTATTGTTGCAAAGCACAAATATGTGAAGTTACTGTTTGCTCTCCTTCCAGTTTGGAATCCGACCCATGTACTCAAAGCCATTTCGGATTACTGGAATGCGGTGTGCGCGCAGAAGATGTATGCTGCAAAGCAGAGGCGCTTAAAAGAGCTGCACGCACACCGACAACCTGTAAAAGTGCGTCAGAGGACGTCGATTTCATTTGTTGAGCTTGATTATGCAAAAAATGTTCCGCTCTCTAGAGGCAAGTCGTCCCGACATACGTTGTTGGAGAGCAAGAGCGTTCGTTTGGTGGCTGCGCCATCTCTTGATGACCCATGTGCAGTCACTTGCAGCGTAAGTTGGAGTGTGCCAACTGAGTTTGAAAAGTGTTGTCCTCTTCGGCTTGTAGCTTCGAGCGATAGTGGCAGCCACGTGGCCGTAGCAGGCCAGAAAGGTTTTTGCCTGCTTAACACTGCAAATGGAAAGTGGAGAATGTTTGGTAACGTGAACGACGAGCAGGACATGTTTGTTCACTCGATATTGTGGGTGGGGGACAACGCGATTGTAGTCAACTTTACGCGTTTTAGCGAAAAACACCAATCTTTGCATCTGCAAGCGTATCCCAGGAATCACTTGGATGAGGAATCTATCTTAGAACAGCTTGTGTTCGCCCGCGATGAAATGTATGCCGTACGCAGTCAAAAATCAGCCGCACAAAGTGGGCGTTCGCTAGATGACGATGCTGAAGACTGTTTTGTCATTATGGATTGCGATGATGCGCTGAAGAATCTATTCTGCGTCTCCAAGCATGAACTCTGGTGCTTTGACTTGACACAAGCTGGTTCTTTAAATCAGAACAATTTTTGGATGAGCATACAGCTAAAGCGAAAGGTGCGTCTGCCATCAAGGGTTGTGGAGTCACAGCATGTTGGAAATACGAGAAGAAGCTCTGTTCTGGATTTCGCTGTTCTACCGCGCTTCCTTCATATTCAAGACGACAAACTTCGTGAAGAGCAGCAGCGAAAGTATCAGCACGAACGCGACAACGACGACGATGGTGAAGGATGGATGTCAAGCTTTGTGAATATGCTGGTAGGAGGCGAAGTTCCCGACCAATATACGCCAGAAGAAGTGCTCCCTCGGTTTGCATTTGTCGAGAGTGTAGGAAACGTGATTGTATGGGACCCAGAAGATCGCTCGCAGCGATTATTATGCTCAAACGTGAGTTCTATGGCGCGGTTGTTTGTTTCACCGGAGGCGTGTGCGGCATGGCCAGCACCTTGCCGACTCATTTACGGATTATATGGTCCTGAAGGTATGAAGATGTGGCTCCCGCTACTGGATGGCGTCTACATGACCCATACAAAAGCCTTTGAAGAGGATAGCCGCCGGCTCGAAACTTTCTTGGCTTGCCATGACCCACTGCGTGCAAAAACATATGAGATAGAATTTGGCACAGCCCCAGCAACGGCAGAGCTCTACGAGCAAGTTGTCTGCGAGTACGGGATTGCATTGGAAGGCTTTCTATCAAGTGGTACTGGTGTTGGTGTAGGTACTGGAAGGATGCCTTTGAGCGATGGATATTCCAATATGCGTGGGTGTGTGATGTCAGTGGACGATCCCTCTGCAAAGGATGGCATGCTCCGTTTCGACTATGATGTGAAAGTTTTAGGTGCTGAGCAAACATTTGGGTTGCTGATAGGTGTGTCGCAGGATGTGTATGTGCCTTCCGGTGTGCTTCTTCCATGCTACGATGTATTTGTGCGCGTGCAACCGATTTTCCATACGCTACTGTGCTTTCTCGTACAAAACGGGCAGCTTTCGTGGGCGCAGCTCGTGCTGAGCGGCGTCCGGAAGCAGTTTGCACTTTCCACGCCGACTCAAGAGCTGTTCCTTCACTCCATGCTCGAGGCCTGTTTTGCGAAGCAATGCTCTGAAGAAGCGTTTCTCGCTGCCATTGAGCTGCTACGTTCGAGCGAGATAGAACAGCAAACGAAAGTTGACAATGCCGAATATTGCGAGATTGTCGCTCATGTGGCACGAAAGAGCGAGCCTTCTCGACTGAAAGCGTTGTTTCCTGCTGCGGGAGACCCGATGGATCTACTGAGTGGCTGTAAGCAGAGATCGGAGCTTCGCACGGCTGCTAACTTCTTGCTTATTTTGGAAGAGTGCTCAAGCGTGTCGGGCACTTCGATGCCGCTACGGATGGAGTGTGCTGCCAAACTGCTTAAGGAGTGCATTGACCAAGAAGAATGGGTGCTTGCTCAGCACGTGGTTCGGGTCGCGCGCGAGTGGGAGCAATCGCCATCCAATGTCGGCTCCCTCAAACCTGCTAAACGATGTGGTGCTAGTATCGATGAGCGGCTGGCTTCCTTGCTGCTAGATTATCTTGTTCGTGGTGAATATGAACGTGTTATCTGGTGCGTTGAGGATCTTCAAGCGAAGCTCCCACACAGCCATCTTGAAGATCGCCAATCAGAGATGGACAGTGATAGCATTCAAGCCCAGCTCCACCACGTTTTTGTCCAGGGCAGTAAACGGAGGCAGCTGAGGTAAGACCTTGCTATTAATCACGAGGTGTTTATTTGTTGGAGTTTACACTAAGTCGCGTATTGTTCTGGCTTGTAGGATCTTGCTGCAAGCTGTGACAGAGGCTCACTATGATGAGTGGGTTGCGCGCATTAAGCACGTAATGGAGCAATGACGTGTCGGGGTTGGCAGCCTACATCAAAATGTCAGATAGACTGGAAGACGCATCGCTGGTTCAGGTCCGCTGCTATCTGAAGGTTGAATGTATTGCCCAGGTTGAAAGCGGATGGAAGACGTTAAAATGTTTTTCAGAGACTTACAGGCGGTTGTGCAGTGCGTGATTTTTCTTTCTTGTGTGACCTGGACAAGCGGGCACAGACGGATCGTATATATGCGATGACTTTAGTTCGATGCAGTCAAGATTGTGAGGAAATGCACATGAAGATTGGCTTTGTCTGAGTTTGTTGCCGTCGTAGTCGTGACTATCATTTTCAACCAACCCCGTAGCCAATTGGAATACACAGGTGATGCGGTATGTAGAAAATGACCACAAGTTTTATATACGATCGCACACTTACGGCGTGATACCTATAGTAGTGACGAATGTTTGTGTATTGTATCTTTACGCCTGGATTCACATCACGTGGCCTGTTTCACCGCAAAAATATTCGATAGCGACGACATCATCACAAGAGGATTTGGTAAAGTAGATGTCCACATTTAGACCGAAGGGGTAGCTTTCGGGCTTTCGTTCAATTGGGGCGCTGCCGAGAAAGATACGCAGGACCTAAAATAGCGACAATACTCGTAACGCGGTATTAGCTAAATAAATTGCAAGAACGATGACATGCACATCATAGTGTTTTGCAGCCTCCCGTATAATATATTCTTGACACGGTAACCTTACAGAGATCTCTCAACTACGTGGTCCTTTTCTATCCCTAAAGATAGTGTGTTTGAGGGGTTTTGTAGATCCTGTGACGGGATGCCTCCGTTACAAGAAATTTACATAAAATATATATCAAGTATGACTATTATGTTATGCATGTAGGGTAATGATATCAACCAATAAAGCCGAGCCACGAGAGACGCAATGAGTGGTGAGCAGACAGATACTGTTGTGGGGTGAGATTCCCCGTTACCATCTTAAATATAGGGCCCTGAGGAAGCGCTATTATTCTATAATGTAAAGCCAACTCCGTCTTATTTTTGTCTCTTAATCGTACTAAGTACAAAAGTGTTCCCTTTCTCGTAGAAAATTCTCAGTTGCAGGTTGATTTATTATTGGCTAAATAGTGGGTCTGGCACCCCAATGATAGATTAAAAATAATACGATGCGCAGTTCCCGCTAATCGAATACTGCCTATGCCTAATTATGTAATGACGTAGTATCGCTATAAATACTAATGTGATAGGTTACCCCATTACATCACTCCTCTCTTTAAGTTGCCGTTTCCCACATAAGCGCAGATATCACATTTTGTTTCGTCCGATAAAAAATTAATGGCATAGCTTCGAACCTGCTCAGTCGCACACGACTGAGCTGCAAGGGATCTGACCGCGCACGCACCGGAAATCCCTGGCGGTGGCAACTGAAATAACCAGGCGACGATTTGAAGGGAATATGATCCGCGAGACAAGGACGAAGAGCTGAAACCGTGAGCGTTATACAGCCTATAAGGAGCCAATCACCCAGAATCACCAGAAGCCATGACTGCACTCTTCACTCGATGCTGTAGAGAAAGAAGCAAAGGCGACCAATAACGCGTATACCAGTGACGCACTACAACGATCGTGATGCGTCCTTTTAAGCGCTAAAGTGCGAGTCGACGTGAAGGCTTGTCCTTCACATCTTGGTTGGATCGACGCAAAGGCATGCACGAAGATCACACTATTGGCTATTTGCACCAGCGCACGTGTCGTGTGGCGCGCGACGAAATGAACCTGTTTATGTTCATGTTTGCGAAGGGTGTTTCCTGTACATTAAGAGCAGCCCACGTCTGATTCAACGAGAATGTACTGGCCAAGTGTGCAAGCGGGTGCTGTCTCGATTTGTTGAATCATGGCTCGATCGCTACAAGAAAACGCTCTTGGATCTTCACGTGTCAGGGCTGCGCCAGATGCGAAAAAGCCTCAATTACGTTGTGAACGTTTACGCTGTCGGGTTAGGTGAGAACGTGATTTATATAATTGGGGCCTCGTAATAGATCTTGGAGTCGCTCAGGAGATATTCGGTGAGCTGCATCTGCTCGCGAGTGCCGTAACTCGCAAGATCGTGGGTGGGGTGGCGAGATCGGTCGCGTCCGACAGTCTCTTGTTGGAATTATAATCCACAACCACATCAGTAACATCCACGTCCAGTGTACCTCGAGGCTCCCATGTATCGTCCGCCGGTGAATATCTCAGCCAGCGAACCTCTGACGCCTTTCGGTCGACTTCTTCGTCGGCGCCGAGTCATAATTCGACGCATAGCGATTTTGATCCTTGTTAGCGAAGATTTAATCGACAATATAACGTCGCGCTTCCGATACATCTACCAAGGGAGGAGGAGCATCACGTTGAAAAACCTCCGTTGACTTGTGGTGATACACGTAGTCGCGAGTCAATACCGTCGACCGCCGAGCTGCGCTATCTTCGTGTTGAAGCTAGAGAGGCGATTAACGGGTTGCATGACACCCGTGAGATGGCTGATGATGCCCGTGATCGTGCGGTGGTTGCAACGGAGGCTGCCGATCTGACTCGACGGAAACAGCGGGAACAAGTCGATCGCCTGCGCCAACTTAAGACAGGTGCATTCGTAGGGCCGCAGCAGAACGAGTCTGCACGTGCTCGGAAAAGTCTCAGTCCCAATCGTCGGCGTCGTCGTCGTTTTGGCGTGTCTAATTACGAGCCGGCGCAGAAGACTATAAATGGTCCGTCGGAAGGACCGCCGACCGGTAAGTCTTAAGAAGCCCGACGTAGAATGTCGGGTGCAGACGCATAGCAGTAGGTATATCTAGAGTGTAGGCGTCCCCATAAATTGTAGTTATACGAAACGGACCAATATACCTTGGCACTAATTTATAAGCGACCAAGTTTTTCGCTTCCGTGTTCATAAGTCCACTTGTTAAAAGCAAAAATCTGTCGCCTTCACGAAATTTCAATGTATTCTGTTGACCTAATCGGTCTGCATTTTCCTTTGGCTTGTCGACTGTCTCTTGGAGCACGAACGCGTGACGCTTTGTGGAAAATAGAAGGAATTCCGTTCCTGCTGCTGAACTATTAGGCGAAGTAGAATCTTAGGAGCAAAAGTAGCAACGAGAGACGTGATAAGTTTCATCGCGTTTGGACTCGATATGCCGTTGGCCACAAAATGAACGGCCATAATTGCATCAACAGCAGCCTTAGGTGCGTCGGAGTCAATCACCAAACGTTTCGACGCGACACAATATGTAGATGCTCCCTCACCAAGCTTAGAGGCCGGGCGTTCTAAAACTAAGAGATCAAGAAGCGCCAGAACGCGAGGGTGCCCCGCGTTGTTATTAAAATTTGCGTTAACGAAGTTGACGCATGAACAGCATTGTTAATAGCGAATATAGGAAGTGGAAGAAACGAACTCCGCTACATGTAAGGATTCGCAAAAACCGCACATAAGCATCTTTAATAACTCTGTTCACGCGCTCTGATTGCCCATACGTCTCGTAATGGGCTGCCATAGACATAAGTAGTTGCGTGCCTAATACTTAAAACAATTCGGCCCAGAAAGCCGAAGTGAAGCGCGGACCGTAGTCCGTAACGATAGACTCTGGTGATCCGTGATGCCTGCAGATGAGATCTACGAATGTCTTAGCGGTAGTCTCCGCCGAAACTTGAGCGGAGACCAAAGCAAATGCACCATTGTTTTTGCTAAATATTTCCACGATAACCAGTTCGCCCGTGCGTTTGTGCTCATCAGGTGGAAGACCAGGGACGAAATTTGTGCTGAATGAGCGCCATGCGTCCGTGTCAATTTGAAGCGGATGCAATGGGGCTTGTGAATATGGCGCAGGTTTCACCCGCTGGCGTACTATGTTCTCGTACAGCTAGAGTCTTAAGCTGTCGCATCCCGCGCTCTTAGAATATGGTTGCGCTCTTAACCGGTAAAAAATTTTACCACGGAAGACCGCCGCATTGCGCCCCATCCATAGATGCTTGTGACATACGGCACTTAGTACGAACCAGATGCGTAAAAATTTCACCTCTGTGACGGTGTGACCGTCTTGGAAAGGTGAATAAAACGCTGCCGAAGGTGATGCGATAGCGGAGGAGCCCGAAGATAGGCACATGGTCGCATGTAAAGAATCAATGGGTTGACATTTGCCCCCCCTGTCCAGCAGCATATAAGTAATGTCCAACATGCTTGCCCAATTGAACAGTCCCAAAAAATATGAGCCAACTTCTCTTTGCACTCTTGCACTCCTCGAGCAATCGAAAACCGTTATCAACTGGGCGTTCAGCATGATTTAGATTTATCTGATGTGTCGCGATTCGATAATACGTCCACACCTTGTACTCAGTTAGACAGTTAGTATGGTACCAAACTTGGGATGGGATTTGATGTGCTACTGCAGCCAGCCAGGTATCTATCCGCGTCGCACCTTTAAATCGTGCTAGCCAAATCTTGGGTGCTGGTCCAAGCTGCCGTTTTATGATACTTAAAAACCTGGCCACGAAGCGCTCCATCAATTCGTACGTTATCCACCGTGTCCGGCACACTCCACGGAAACCTATGTATCTGTGGATAGGCAAAAAGACCAGCCCGAATTGGAACTGACGACGCCAACAATTGGCCTCGATCTGGGATGAACAGCGAATGACCGGCAATTCGCCCTGAACAATTCAATGAAGACCGTCACCATCCACCGAAAGCCTGATGACAGGTGATGACGGTAAAGCATGATCCTGCCGCTTCCTAACAACAATGAGTCATCCACCCGAGCCCACTGGTAGTCCCACCGAAATGGTGGGGGATGCCGTAATTTCAATGCCGGCTTAACCAGTCCTGATCTAATCGCTAGTGGAGGGGAAGCGAGCAAAAATTTAGTCGCCCACCGCCTTAACTTGGGGTGCAGGTGTCGTGGGCTATCGTCCCCGATATACGAAAACATCATGGCAAACGTGCGAAGTCCTGTTCGGTGAATGCGCAGATCCCGTAGCTGACACGGCAACACTCTGGAGAACTTGGATCTCGTGAGAGGCTTACCGTGAGGATTCAAAATCCAAGGATTGTCGTTCCAACTAAAGTTAATCCAGAAAAAGAGCAACAGCTCTCCCCTTATGATCCTATATTCCTGTGGTAGCCGGATTAGTATTGTGGTATGACACTACCCACGACTGATCCTCCCATTAGCTACTCGCACCATCTAAAAGGCCAGCAAAAATGCTTTGTCGTACGATCTCGCATTTCGAGAACTTGCTCAGCCGTGGGCGTCAGTAAACCTTCCGGACCCCATGCAATCGAGTCATGCGGAGATCTCCGGACAACCATCCATTCAGCCGCACCAATCGGTTGCAGCGCTGGTACTAATACTGACGAATACCGAGTTTTCTGGAACGTACAGCTTCGCCCGACCTAAAAGTATTCAAACCGTTTTTGCAAGAGCCATTTCAGCGCATGCTGTGTTCTTTGAGTTTTGATAGCTACATTAAAAGATGCAAGTCCCACCCCTCCCGCCTGCTTTGGCGTAACCAAAAGTCCCGGGTTCATCATATGACGTCTGGCCTCCGACATGGAGGCATGACGCCACAGGATGTACTTGTACAACTGGTTGAGCTCTTTCCGAGCCTACTCTGGAATATCATAGACAGCCAATGTAAACAAAACTGCCGGTAAGACAATAGCATTTGATGTAATCACCCGATTTTTCATGCTGGTCGCGACTTTTAATGCCGTGAGTAGACGTCTTCGGACCCGACGAATGCGTATTGCCCAATTTTTATTAACCATGTAAGGACCCTAATTTACTGGTGACATACAAGCTACTTATTCTATAACAGAATAAGGCGTGCCTGTAACTTCACGTACACTCGTATGCAGAGGAAGACGGTAAGAAGAAGCGAGTATCGGTTAGAGTAAAGTAGAACTTATTTATAATAGTTAATGTCTGCAATAAATCACTATTTATCTTCATCTAACTATTCTAAATACAAATGTGTAAATCAGTTATCTGCTCACCACTCATTGCTGCTCTGTCTGGCGCTCTTCGTTGGTTGATATAATGGCCTATATCAACCAATTAGAACTACTTGGAAGTGCTACAGAATATTGTCCTTATGACAATATTCTGAGAATATAACTCTTATAGTTATATTCTATTAACAATTTCTTATAAATTGTTATGTAACGATTCACCCCGTTACAAACCAGCTCTCCCGTACCGACTTTATACCCCAGATACCTGGTCGTCTCCCCTGGTGGCAGCACCGTTATACCATGAAACTGCCGGAGTCTGAAAAATGTGTTGAGAAAAATGTTAACTTGCTTTTCGCCGGTTGTGCATGTAAACCCGAGAGCTTTCCAAATTTGGCGACGAGGCGGAGCGCCGGACCAAGTTGATCTGTCCGATCGAGAAAAATAGTCGAGTCGTCCACAAAAGCCGAGAAGATGTGCCTTATGCCAAAATCATCTGGAATCGGTAGTCCACACAGACCTGGAGTCTGTTGTATCGCCACTCTTAGTAGTTTCATCACTACAAGAAAAAGTAACGATTCCAATGGACACCCCTGACGTACCCCTGACCGAAAAGGAACTGGGTCTGATGGGTCTCCAATAACCACGAACCTTGCAGTTTTTCCAGAATGTATCCGGTGTATGAGCTAAACAGACTAATTGTCGAAATGGAATTAACGTTGAGCTTCGTACATGAACTTCCTGTCCACTGTATCCTGAATTTTGCGAAAAAATAAGCAGCAGGATTATGCGAATAGATTTAGCCGGTAGATCGTCGACCTCGTGAGACGAAGCGAGTTAAGCAAGCATCATCATGACTAGCTTCAGCATTTGCCTGCCTCGAACAAAGCCTTGCTGTGAGCCTTCAATCAATGCCGGTAGGAACTTCTGCAGGCGCGTAGCCAAAACCTTAGGAAAAAAAATTGGTACTGGTCTAGAGCAATGGTATCGGGTTGTAATCTAAAGCATCTGCCGAATCTCCTTTCTTGCGCAAAGCAATCACCAGAACCTTGTAAAAAACGGCGGCATGTCGGCTCCATGAGGGATCTCGTTACTCACCGTCACCAAAGCCGGAACTAGTAACAGAAGTATCCTTGTGAATGTTGTTATTGAGACCGTCAGGACCAGCAATTTTGTGCTGGCGTAGGTCAAAAATCGCCTGATGAACCTATGCTTCGGAGAAATCATTGATCAGGGCACGGTTTTCGATCGAAGGCAGCCGCCTATCTGCCGGGATTGTTACAAATGCTCTAACTGCGGCCGGTAAATTATTTAATGTCTCAGTACGATGAACGGCATCTAGGATCGGCGACCATTCCGAGGCAAATTTGTCTGCAATGTTTATTTTTCATCGTTAAGCTGGCCCGTGCTTGTTCTCGATCCGAGTAATTGTTTGATCGCGTTCCCAGTCGGCGACTCGCATAAAGGACCACCTCAGACGGGCACTGGTCCTTACCATGTTCTGCCCGAGCCTGAATAAATGCTCCTGCTTTCAGCCCTCCCATGTTTAACCAAGATCCACCGATGTCGTGTAATAATTGACGTCGTTCTCTCTGCAACAGTTTGGTCTTGTAACGATACCGCCTTTGCCGCGCCCGTTTGCGAACACGTGCGATACACTCTTTGCAAGAAACAACCGCCGCGTCCCATTGGCGGACTGACCGAATTCTGCCTACTGCGAACTCGTCTATCGCATCCGATAGTTCGTCCACGACGCGAGCCGGTTGGCCTCCTGGATGGGATACGATACCTGACGCCAATTTGCATGATTCCTATATCACCGCCGCGTTCTCAAGTAAAACTTAACTTCTTGATGGTCCGATGGAAAAGGCAGTGTCCGGACTGCCACCCATAAGACCTTTGCAGCCTAGCTGGAAGGAACGCAGAAGCGGTCGATTTGACTAGCCCTTTCGCCCTCCCAATTCGTGAAATGATCCACCGTGACATCTGTTTCATCACCCTTCGCATGGTCACTCAGTAATCTGGCGTCAACCCAGTCGTGGTCGACAACAAGCCCTTCCAGCGCTGGACTTTCCGGCCTACTCGACCGATGGAGGCCCAACCTATTCAAAGGACTCTGAACGCAATTAAAATCACCCACCATAATAGAGATGTCCTTAGGAAGGTTTTAAAGTGGAAAAGACATAAAGAGCTCCTCGATGTGATCGAATTGACGGATCATACACATTTAGAAGCACGAGGCCATCAGTGGAAACCGCAATTGCGCGCGTACTTTAGAGATCTCGGAATAAAACCGATGTGCGCTGAGCGGCCTTGGTTGTCAGTTATATCGCAACACCCCCGACCCTCGCCGACACATAGATATAATAAGAGAGAGGTGGGTAGTCACGGTCGCCGTGTTTCCCCCACAATGTCGCTTACCGTAAACTCAACGCCCGCACTTGTATGATGTCTGCCACATAAGTTTTTTGAATGCACTACGCTGAGAGTCTTTCGCGGACTGGCCGACTACGCCAAGCCGTCAACCATCTGTTTTGCACGCTTCGTTTAAATCCCCGCACGTTTTGGGTGACGGACTTAGTGCTGTCCTGCCCCACCGGGAGACGACCTGGTGTCTCCACCCCTTTCCCCGCCCAGTCTAACAGCCTAACAGCAGTGCATGACGTCCGAATGCATCCGCTTCATTAAGATTTGCCCCTCGTAGGTGCGTCGCCAGGTCATCCGTAAAGCTGCCCTTAGTACAGCAGCAGCCTCTGCTCTCCAGCTGGCGTGAAAACTGAAGAGAAGAAGCGTGATAATATTATCCGGTTGACCTGCTGTTGCTCTGGTAAATAACAAGCCGACTTGTATGCTGGGTTTTTCCGAAGAAGCTGTAACTGCCGTCGGATTTTCACGGTAGTGACGAAACCTCACTGTGGGCATCAGTCAAGGCAGCAATTTCGTGGTCAAACAAAATGGCGCACAGGAGATGCTGGCTAAATCGAACCTTGTTGTGAGGGTCACATAATTTTAAGATTTTGTCCGCTGCATGCTTAATCTCTTTTAAACGACGCCAGTCGTCAGCTTTATCTATGAGAGGGGGGGATGAAGCATGGCGGTCCTGTGCATGGTGCTTGTAATCCATTGATCTAACCATGTTTGGACGGAGTGCGACTTAACTTGGCTTTGCAAAGACTGAAGCTCGGCTAACAAGCACTCTATTCGCCAGTGCGAGGACTAATGAACCAAGACTTGCACGTCCAGACCATTCAACAATTCGCTGGAAAAGGCGAATTGGCGGACGTGGTGTAGAATCAGAACCGGATAGAGCTGCGCTGCTTTTGTTGGTGAAAGGTGATGCTTCTTGTGCAGTTGCATGAAAATTTCATTTATATTTAGGTGTGTTATTGTTTGTACTAGTTAGTAGTTAGTACAAGTGTGGTAAAAAAAGTTGCACGGTGATTTGACAACGTCCAGTTGCTCAGTCGGATAGGCGTGTCAGCGTTATCTTAGAGGTCACTGGTTCGATCCCTGGTGGGGACAAGCTACAAAGTTCAGCCTTCGGGTCCTGGTGTCTAGGGTTCACCAGCACTGTCCTGCCAGATAGTTACGTCCCCTACTTTTGCGACGGGGACATGACAACGACGTGTGATTAGACAATTAGAATTGACCGGTCTGCAGTTTAACCGCGAACAGATTTGGACAGCTGAGACGACTGGCGACGAAGCGCCAAAGGTCTAATGGTAGCAAGAATGAGACTAACGGTAGGAAATGGTAAACACAATGCTATTCACTTTTGGTTTCACTGCTTTGACCACAAGTAACTTCATCTTAACGCTCACGACAACCTAGGAACTCAACAGCTTTGACCCACGCAGACGTTGGACTGTGAACATGAGGGAATGGTGGTGTCGCCGATGCCTGCCATACATGACCTAGGGCTTGCCAGAACGCGGGTCGTTCTTCCTGATCAATACTCCCGGATGCGACCTGGACCTTGCCGTCTACAGTATCGACGTCATCCCGCTACTTATTTTAAATATCTGAGAAATGTTTCTTTCGGATCTGCGCTCCATCCGAAAAGAGATCAGCCGGACATGAAGCAAGCCCTCTCTTCCTTGGACGCTCATCTAAATGGTGATAAATTGAGAGGTTTAATTTGGTGAGTCCACAGCTGATTGATTAGATACCTCGGTAAGAGGAAAATCCTCAGTTGCATCACCCTATTATAACCAGAGACTTGTGACCTGGGTCGAATGAAGGTTATCGGGAGGCTCAGGTGACGCGTCGCTAGGTACAGAGATCGCACGGGATAGACTGTTGTTATCCGGATAGGAAAATTGTTCGTTGTCGGCCCCGCCCGATACTTCCACCAAGTCAGGTGGGCCTTCCCCTTGCGCTGAACGAAGCATCATCGAGTTTTGCAGACCATGAAATTGCAGCACCAGCGGAGGACGCTTTGGATTTGCGTAGTTAGCCGCCTGCAATTCTTCAAAGCAGTCTACCAATGATAATTGATTATCATTGACTGTATCCACGGCCATGAGATTCTTTGTCGCGACAGTCGCGCTAAATTTTTGATAGCTGTGACTTCCAGCACCTTCGTCACCAATCTGCAGGACATAGATGTCGCGTTGCAAAAAATTTGCTGCCATGCCCAAAGTATCGCTCACCTCAGGGAGTGTATCTTACTATAGAGACCCGATTCGAGGGTGAAGAATAAAAGTCCATTAAAGCCATCCGAAATTGATCAGCCAAATCCTTTCGTGTCATAGTAGTCCATTCACGGCCAACGTAACGGAGAGTCTTTACACTCAAATCGTGCACTTAAATTTCCTCCATATGCCATAGCCCTGCACAAACAATGCTCCGTTTAATGCAAGCTGTCATCCGCTCTAGCCCATCACCCGTACCTGCCAGATCCGCGTCTGCAAAAGCTTGAGCCACTGCCATAGCCATGCAATTACCAGTGACCGCCTCCCGTAATCCCAGAATAGTTCGAGGCTACGCATATCTACAGGAATGACCTGGGGTCGTTGTTCCATAGAGAGAACGTGTTTAGGACCAGCGCCCAGCTCACGAAGTAATTTTTCACTCGCTGCCCTCTCTTGACTTCTAAGGGTCATCAGTACTGGTCCAGATCGAATGGGAGGTTTCCCCCGAGCAAGAGCCTGTCTCTTCCTGCTCGCCTCCTCCGGCTTTAAACGCGTCATGGCTGAATCACGTCGGTCCGAGCTAGTTCGCGTTGCTGTTTCATCAGGAGATGCTGCAGCTTGTTGCATGTCCCCCGTAGCCGGGTCCTTCGTTTCATCGAGTACCGAGAACCTCCCGGATGTAATTCCCGACCCTACCACGTCCCGCTTGTGAGAAGACCAAGGGTTTTTCGTCCCCCGAACTGATTTAGTAATCCATGGCTGCTCGTCGATTGGTACCGGAGCAGGCCCTAGAGCAGTAGAGGCTCGACTTTCTGAGGTATGTACCGACCCAGGCCGCTCCGTAACCCTGCAAGGAGGGTAACTAGAAACAGGCGGGGAAGAAGACGTAGCCCCTGTTGGAGATACGGCGGCTTGAGCTGCTTCCTCGGCAGATTCTGGACAAACAGGCGATCTTTCGCCATCTGACGCATCTCTGCTACGCTGCTAGATGGTTTCGCCAAATCCTCGACGTCCTGAAGGTTGCTCTCCATGACCTCAATACCCCCAGAGCCCTTCGTTGGGCATCCGTATACCCACAGCGTGCTGCTGTGTGCCCTAGATCCCCACATTGAAGGCACTGTAGCCGTCGGTCGACGTCTGGTTGCTGAATGATAATTGGTGTCCCGAACCACAATAGTCGAACCACACCTTGGAAAACACTGGACATTCAACCAGCTGAAAGGTGAACCTCCACGAAGTTGATATGCCCGGACATCGGGCAATACGTGTCCAGAACCTCGAGCACAAAACGTGTTGGAATCTTCGACTTCAGTTAAGCTGCAACACGACCGACCTCATTAATTCGAGTAAGGTTGTGAAGTATGACTGTGTATTCAGCCCTTTGCTTCCACGACCATCCTTTCGGGCCTTGCTGACGCCGCCATTCAGATCCACCGCCGGGATGGTGCGCATTGGACAACAGGTAGATACGACCTTTATAAGGGATACGCACGTCCTTAACACGCGTAGCTTTTCCCCGAGAAAAGAAAAATGCATGAATGGACTTCGTCGAGCGGTCGTAGTTAATAGTCTTGGTCAAACAAAAGACCTGTGGATCTCCAGCAGGCTCATCTTAGCCAACTCCGCTGACTCGAGGATTGTTTTAGGGATCGCCCGGAATGTCTGCTGGCCTATTGGGATTTCCCAATTATGACCAAGATGGAGCACCAATTGCAATTCACTTGCGCCTGTACCGTACTGTAAAGTCAAAATTTCCCCGCGCTGTCAAATACATCCCAGAGAAAATGGGGCATGCGCCGACAGGATATGTGACCTTCAGCTATATCGACTATTTCTCGCCACTCGTCATCGTTGCCTTCCCTTAAGAGTGAGTGAGGCCCCCCTGACGTGCGACGCTCACAGACGGATTTAAGTTTTGCTACCTCGTCCTTAAAAAATTTCGAGGGATCAAAAATATAGTTCTCGTACATGATGGCGGAAGCCGTCGTTCCCTCTGCGGCAGGCGCCGCCGTGCCCTGCCGCACCACTCGCGCCCACTGGTTAAAAACCGGAGCCTTGGACTACTTGTGCTGGCTAATAGCCATTGTGTAATCTTAGTAAAGGCCCATTTGGTTTATAAAATGTCCCTGCTGAGGGTGGCGGTGATTCGTCGCCTGTATAGATAAGAGCCGGCGCTTAAGACAAATACTTGCTCAAACAAACTCAGTAAACTCGACGCCTCCACTCCTTTTAGCCGCGGGAAACGTTGTTTGGAGACCGGTAACTCCTCCGGATTATCCGGCAAATTCGTAAAGGCCAGTGAGAAGAGCTTCCGAATAGTCTGTATTCATGATTCCATTTGTCTTGTTCCCGAGAGGCCCTTTATGGCTGCTACCAAAGCGTGAAGCGTATCGTGGGGGGCGGTGATTGGGCAGACCGTAGAGATGCTGAAGCAGCCGGAATACTTCCCTCAGCTGGCTCAGGGATCGTTTCCCCTGGTGAAGTTTTCTTGTTGGTACGTCCCGTGGAAGTGCCATCCGGATCCGTTTCTAACGCGCTCTCATCTGGCCTGGTCCTCGCAGAATCGCTGCTTTCTTGATCGGTCTGAGCCTGGCCCTCTTGGAAGGCGCGGCGCTGATATAGCTGCGCATATCGTGTGTGCAAGTCATCCGTCTCCATCTCGATGCCACCTGGAGGCGACGCTTCGAAGTGGTCCGCAACGCCCCCCAGTACGTCCGTAGTGTCTATATTCCCTGCGGAGCCGGCAGAGCTTGCGAAACCGTTGAGCCGCCCTTCGCCCCCCCCCTCGGGGGGAAGACTTGGAGGCGTCTTGCAGTTTTTCGTGCTTCGATGAGCTGAGTGATACTAGCTGGAATAGTCTTATCGCTAAAATCTGTGAACTGTTCAGTCCGTCAAATAATCGAGACTGATAGAGAAACAAGGTTATTTATCACGTATTGCTGGCCTCGCGGGTAGGTGTAAGCCCTCGGAGACCGCCCCGTATCACGCGAGCAAGACGAGATGTCCAAAAAGAATGTGAAAGACCGACAAAAGTCGAAAACCAGTTTTCACACTGATTAGAACAGATGCTACACTTGATCTTAGCTAAAAGCCGAGAAGGTATGGCTTAAAAGCAATACAGAGGACTGAATGCAACACTGTCGAGACGATAGCGAATGTTGACAATAGGAATTTGAATGTTACATTAAATTCGAAATGCGAAAGTGATATTTCAAACAATGAAATAGGGCAACAAATACAACGAATCTAACGTCAGTTTTTGGTGCTGCACGCGTGTATGTTGATAGTGTGTGTACGTTGTAAATGATACAACGTGATCATGACAATACGATATTCAAAAGCTATTGAAAAGGTAAATGTGAGTTGGCCTTACGGGAGAAAGGTGTAAGCCCTCGGAGACCGCCCCGTCTAAGTAGCAAGCTACTTTGACAGGGTGTCCAAAACTGAATGTGAAAAAGACCGACAAAAGTCGGAAACCAGTTTTCACATTGATAAGAACAGACAAGTGTGTGCATTACCGCCTGGTTTGCCTATTTCTAACGGGTATCGAAGTACCATATCGAAACTATGTGGTGTGTAAGGGACGTACAGGTTGCACCACACAGAGCTAAACTACAACGTACCGGAGGGGTTTGAAGGGCGGTTCCCATCTTGGGTATGGTCCTGTCGGCCACTGTGGACCCGAAGTTTGACTAGCGGCGTCCGTGATGTGACGGAGTCCCCCTGGTCTCCGTCACCGGACTGCCCCTCGTATCTTAATCTTGCCACACCTGGTGCATGCCGTGCGCGATGCTGACTGGAATGCAGGATCCAAATGCGGCGGCTTGACTGTATGCAAGCTGCAGACAAATGCTTGTCCAGCCGCTTCGCATCGCGCTTGAGCAGCCCCAGTGTTCGCTGTAAACCGCAAAGTTTCCACCGGCTACTGCACCAAGCGAGCCGTAAACGATCGCCGAAAGATGGACGGTCCATCCTTGGCGATTAAGATGTCGCTTGACGCAATCGTACTTGTCACACTTGGCCTTGGCTGTACGGACCAGCGAAGACGTCCTCGGGTCGTCGTTGGGCTGCTCTTTAAATGCCACTGCAAATTTACAACTGACACTTTGAGTGTGGTGTAGTTGTAGACCTGCAAGTCTGGCCACAGCGCAGGTCCGGGGAGCGAGGGTATCGTTTGGTTGACTCTCAGCTCAACCCTGGCCGTCTTGTCGCTGGACGCCGAAGCAATGGCTCGCTCAATAATCGTGAGGGCTTCATCGTGGCGTCCGCGAATGGCGTCCATAGTCCCCGCGCAGTGGTTAAGCACAAGCGCGAGTGTCTCCGATCGCGAGCATCCTGAATGCCTGCACTGGCCATGAGCCCGGAGACGCCTGCGATTGAGCACACTGTGCGTGTCGAGCTGGTTGAGTCGACCGGCCACCGCAAAGCGGTAGTCGGTCTCCCACAACTTGCGGGTCCGCGATAGGAAGCCGCTTCTAAGACCCGCAAGAGTGCGAGCGGACTTGCCTTGGTCCGACATTGCGGCCCAACACTTCCAGTGTTTGTGCTTTAGGTGCAGCTTCACGTGCCGAAGGACATCCCGATGGTCGAACCAGCCAGCGTGGTGGGGCACGCGAAGCTGCAACGTCTGCGCCGGCGTCCTTGTCTCCTCCACCGCTGTCGCCTTCTCAAGCTCGAGGCCGAAGTGGTGAAGGTAACCCTGGACGTCGAACCACATCGACCCGATGTCTGCATTCCTTCGCTTGAACGGCGCTGGGTCCGACGTCCCCAGCTTGCTGTTGAGAAGGAGCTTGCCCAGCTCCGCGTCACGGTCCTCCGTATCAAAGCGTCCAGCTTGCATCTTGAGTCAGCAATCTGACAGAGATGCTGGCGAGCTATGCGCTGGATTGCAGGGTCAGGAGAGCGCAGCATCTGCCACCCATGCGCAACTTGCAAGGCGCCATGCAGCTCCATCAAGGGTAAGAACCCTAATCCACCACGAGAAGCAGGAGCGTAAAAGAAGCCGTCGTGGCGCTAGGGGCAGCCGTAGCAGGTGTCGAAGGCCGTGTACAAGATGACGGTCAAAACCCTCCAGCTGCTGAGCAAACGGCCTCAGTTGCCGGAGGGCGTACTCAAACCGAGGGTGCAAGTACACCTTGAATGCCTTGACCACCTGCCACGGCACCAGTCCGGACTGAATCAGCGCCGCCGCTTCGTGCAGATGGGTGATCAATGGTTCAAGCTCAACGCGACGGCGCACGTGGTCGAAGCCATCCCCGATCCCCAAGTATTGGTATGAGTCGGAGGCGCTGAGCGCGGGGATCGGGGAGCCGTCCAGCTGCAGCCCGAGTTCGCTAGTCTGGTGTAGACCAAGCACACTCCACTAGAAGGACGTTATACTGCACTTGTCCGGATTCGCCTTCATGCCGGTCCAGCGCAGGAAGTCTTGCACGACCGAGTGTTGACGCTTTATACCGTCCACGGTGCTGCTGAATGTCTTCAAGTCGTCTGCGTAAGTAGCAGCACCGAGACGGTCTTCGCTTGACAGCTTCACACCAGTGTCCAGCATCGACTTGAGAGCGTGAAGCAGCGGAGCGATCGCGGCAGTAAAGAGGTGGGGGCTGAGTAGGCAGCCTTGAAATACCCCCCACCTTCAACGCGATTGGCGCCGTGGTCCCATCAACAGCGTTACGAATTGTAAACGCTGCGTCTGCGTAGAGACCACGACAACAAGCGACAAACTTGGGCGGAACGCCCTGTCAATGTAGCGCCTCTCATATTAAAACGTGTGGCACACTGCCAAAAGCGTTGGCAAAGTCGTACCACACGACATGCAACTCTTGATGCTTGTGCCGGGCTTGGTCGACGATCATGGCTGCGAGGAAGTTGTGCGTCCCGCAGCCGTTCATGGCTCGAAAGCCCTTCTGCCCTTAAGCGTGGCGGCCGTTGACGTCGAGCCAGCGCGTAAAGCGACGCTACAAGACACCGGCGTACAACTTGTAGATGGCCTGCTGCAAGAAGATCGGCCGCCAATCGATGGGTCGAGCCGATCTCTCTCCTTGTGCAGCAGGCGCACCACGCCAACCTTCTAGCTCTGCGGCATACGCTTGGACTGCCAGCAGCGCGCGAACGCCGCATACAGAGCAGGAATAAGCTGGGCCATGAACATCTTATAGATGTCGTAGCCGACACCGATCAGGCCGGGGCTTGAACTGCCACGCACGCTGCACTTGGTCCTCGATCTCATGTGACGACGGCGCATCCGTGAGAAGCGCCATCCCAACGGTTGCTGGAGGCAGGCGGTCCATGGCCGTGCGGAATGAGGCTCCGACTGATGCCATGGGGTTGAAGGCACCCACTGGGGTGTTCACAGCCGTGAAGAACTGGTTCAGGCGCTCCGCTGAAATGGGGCAGATGCCTTCGGCCACGTCCACACAGTCCGGCAGGGGAGCAGCGGTACTGGATGGTGTAGCCGCAGCCTCTTCTGCCTTGCGCTTGGACCGAGCCGTCGTCAGAATGCTCTCAACGCACACCTTCTACAAAGTAACGAAGGGGTGGCGGAGGCGTTGCTCGGAAATGGAGAAGTTTGTCCTCCTTACACGGCGACGTGCCTTAAACACAAGCTTGAGGTTGCTAGGATCTCTGCGCTGGATAGCATGCATGGCGTACAGAGCCTCGTCAAGCCGGTGCTCACGGTGATGACGTGAACGACTGCCACCTTGGCGCCGACCGTTATTCGGAACGGCCTGCGCTTGACCTTAATGTGGCTCCTGTCGTCTGTCAGGACGCAGGTCTTGCTGGTGCTGCTGCAGTCGATCGTACAGAGCATAAGTGAGGGCTGTGATGCAGCCTTCTGCCTCCTCCCAGTCATCAGCGTCCGTGATCTTGGCAGCTAGCTTTGCATCCAGTCGCTGCACCAACTCGCCCGCAGCCTCTTGCTTGTCCTCATCTAATGCGTAAAGGCGCAGTCGCGACCGGCGCTAAGGCACTGCATCAGGCCCCACACTCATCGCTGCATACACCTCGCCATCATCGTTGTCCCCCATGCCATCATCATCGGCGGGGCTCGGGGGATCATCAGTGCCCACCGCGACATGCGGGTGGCAGGCGGAGGTGCAGCTGCGGATACAGGGGCCGTCGTAGAGGTGGGGGTGCATCCCTGGCCATCGTTGTGCATCCCACACTCCACCTCGGTACGGCGGCAGTCAAGAGCGGCGTTGGCAAGTCGGTCGGTATGACCATTCGCCTGCCTGTCGATGGGATGGAGCGTGGCCCGCTCTATCCGTGCCAGCTCTGTCTTGACCGCGATGCGCAGTTGCCTCAGCCTCTTGTTGCGTGTGGCGAAGATGCCACGCACCTGCTGGATTACAAGCGTGCTGTCACCCTCAATCTGCAGGCGCGTGACACCGTGGTCGGCGGGTGTTCGTGTGCCGAGCAGCAGCTCCGTACTCGGCCGTGTTGTTTGTTTCGCTGCTGTTTGGCATGTAGTGGGAGCAAGTCCACACTGCGGGGCCGCTGGGCTTGAACAACGCAGCGCCGGCGCCTCCTGGGCCAGGGTTCTTGCGGCAGGCACCGTCAAAGTGCAGCAGCCACGTGCCATCCATGTCGGGGTCTTCGGTGACGTTCTTGTCGTCGCCGTCACCAGCCTTGGTTTCCTCCTCCTCCGTTAGCTCTGGCGGGAGGAGACGGTCAGTAATCCCTGACACCACCACGCTGCGAGGCAGTGGTGGTCACCAGCGAGGGGCGGGGACATCGCCGAGGTGAGACGCAACGCGAGAAGCGACCAGCTCCCTTGGGAGCGGCGGGCTCCATCTTGACCTGTCAGGCGTGGTGCTCGACTGCGGAGGGGACACAGAGAGCACCGAAGGGTCTTGGCGGGGCAGCAGGGATTTGTGTCGGTCACCGTAGCGGTGGCATTGACTGCACCAGCAGTGGGGCTGAGATCCCCTGCTGCTGATGCAGTCGCAGCCGAAGTGTCGCGGAGGCTGGCAAACGCGCGAGCGTGGTTAGCTGCAGCCAGCCTCGACACGAAAGGCGTGCCGCACGCACAACCTGCCGAGAAGCGGTCAAGAAAGGCGATGCGGCAGTGCCTTGAGTCCCGGTGGCGCTTGAGCGAGGCAAAGCTTGATGCCGTGTATGTACACAGCGTGCACATAAAGCGCTGCGCATGTGCATACACGGCCTGGACGGAGGACGGGAGTACGCTGGCCGTGGACGACCAAAGCGCTGAGTTCATGGGGCCGGACGTAACGTCCTCGAGCAGCAGTTGCTAGGCTTGCTCGCGCGAAAACTTGGTGGGCGCTGGGCGATACGGGTTTCGAACCCGTGCCCGAAGTTGCGGCACCTAACTCCGCGTCACCGCCGCGAGGCGATGGCGACGTAGACGCATGCGGGGTCCATTTTTCGGGCCCCAAAAGGGAATTATTGGAGGTACGAGTGTGTACCCCCAACCCTAGTCCGACGGCGACTGTTCCCAGGCAGTTTCGCCCCCAGTTTCGCTGCACCTGTTCCACAAAGAAGGGTGACGAACTTTCTGGGAACAGTATCAAATCAGACTGTCCCGCATCTTTGCCAGTGACCAGTTGCGTGTCACTTGGGAGAGGGAGCATTCCGACTGATTCCACGCCAGTCTCCTTATCAGCCGAAGCGTCATAGAAAGACGCAACACTGGCGAGACTGGAGTGGCTGTCCGTGGAGCACTCACTATCGCTGGACAGAGAGCGCTCCCGAGGCTGTCAATCCGGCCACCAGAAGCGCATCGGGATGCGTTGGTGTAGAGCCGGTGCAGAGGACAGAAAGGCAAGAAGATTTTAACGAAAGTTGTAACGAACGAACGATAAGTAGAAAAGGAGAGAGAGAGAGATTTCATGAGGATCTGTTAACATATGATTGTGTACAAGATGTCTAAAAACTCCTGAATCAGGAAATCAAGTCCGGATCCGGAAGAGTTTCATGACTTTTACCCGAAGAAGCCCTGATGTCTCGGGGTGCTTGGGTAAAAATTCGATGCCGGCATGCAGGAGAGCCCCTTAATCGACGGTACCGCTACCTCGATGTTCCAGTTTAGCCAGCGCTAGGAGTTAGAGGATCGTTGTCTCCTAAAAACGGGTGACACTATGCGATGCCATGGTCAGCACTCCTCTGAAAACCGCATCATTATGCTCCTGCCATAAGTGGGTGAGGCACATGGTACTTATGAGAAACCAAATCCGTTTCCAGACGCGGACTTTTGTCGCTGCGTCATCCGTGAATCGTTAATGCAACCGGTGTCTCAGCCGTGGTGAGATAGCTGGGGCTCGACGATTGGTACTGCCTAGGTATTGACAAGTTCCAGACAGGTCTGCCACAGTTTCACCGGTCCAATGACCAATCATATTTGATCAACACGAACACGCCTTCGGGCAATCTCAGAATATGTGGGCAAGTGTTTCTTGAACCCCTCGACATACTTGATGTGCACGGCAACCGTTGTCTTCGTTACGAATTCCATGATTAGGGTTGAGTTTCTTAATTGCTATTCGATCGCAAGCCCACACCTGGTACTCTGTGAGTCCATGTGCATGGTCCCACACTTGAGACGATCTCTGATGCGCTACAGCTCGCTGCCATTTGTCCGTTCTGGTGGCAGCTTCCAGACGCTGCATCAGTGGTCGTAATACCACAGCGAGCCGAAGATTGTAATGCTTAAATGCTATTCGAAAAAAGTGTTGTGGGAATGGACACATTTGTTACCTCATCTGCGACCGCCTAAGGAAACCGATGATGTCGAGAATGAGCCTAAAATAATTACGCCGTGCTGCTAAAGTTGTTTAAGCTATGCTTCCCTATTCCACTTCACTATCCGTCACCAATTCAGGAAGCCTTGTAGTGAAGAACCAGCGAAACCCGTCGGCCGCCTGCGTCAGGTGGATTTAAGCTTCCTCTGGGACTATGTGACCCCTTCTCACTTCAGATATACGACCCGGCATTCTGTGGAATAGTCATAGTCTTGCTGAAGAGGAGGGCCGTGCCGAAGTGTCAACCGAGAATGGAGCGCTAAATTGGTCCCGATCTGATAAGGTGGGATGCCATCAATATCGCTGTTGCCATCAATATCGCTGTTGCCATCAATATTGCTGTTGCCATCGTCGTAACTTGGGATGCGAATGGTTGGAAACATGTTGTCCGGACAGTGGTATGCTGAAGACAAACTCGGACGGCCCCGTCCGCCTAATGCGCAGGTCTGAAATGGTGCATGGTGCAATCCGGCCATACGTTTAGCCAAAAAACTGCCTGCCCCGTGCATCCCGGATATATGAATTCTTGCTCCATCTAAGCATTCCCCAGAATCAACGAATAAATTTAAAGTGAGGACCCGCGTGTGATGATGCTCCAGAAAAGGTCAAGTTATAAGACAGAACCCATTCATTAATTTCCCATTAGCTACCTGCACCGGCGAGTAGGGTCGGTGTGTACGCACGTACCCGATCCCCAAAGAGGCCTAATTGGCCATCTGCAGGCTCCAGGAGCTTGTTAGTATCCTCTATGAATGAAGTTTTGGCAGGCTTAGACAAATAGGTTACCACCCCCCTGACCGAGGCCGTTCATGTAAAACAGGTCCTGAAGTAGTCGGCTGACCTGGTAAGCCCAAAAACGCCACGTTCCAAGATACTTGTCGTGAGCTTGCGTGAGCCACATGAGAGCGTGTTTGGTGCGCTGTGTTTTGATTGCAACCACGACCGATGCGAGCCCGACTCCCCCGGCCTTACTCGGAGTAAAAAGGAGCCTAGATTAATCTTGTGACGACACGCTTCTGTGATGGTTGCGTGTGCCCACAAAAATTGTTTATACAAATTTTGTACGTCCCTGGGAGCCCAGTCAGAAATTCGAGAACCGCAGCCGTATACAGAATTTTCGGTTGGATAATGGGATTTAATACATTAACGCAATTCTCCACGCTTGTAGCAATCCTGGATGGCGTGAATAATCGCCGTTGAAGCTTCCTGATGCGAATCGCCCAATTACGATGTTGTAGGTCGCCTATACCCACTTCATAGCCCAAATCCTGCACTGTATCTACATATTGAAGTACTGATATGCCACAAAACGTCTGCACGCACACCCCTTTGTTTAAAAAATTCAGCTTGCTCTTGAATGGCTGAGCGACCATCCCGGACAAATGTCCAAAGTGAGAAAGTATCTCGAGCGCCTGGTCAAGCTGACACGCTTTATCTAGATAAATTCTTGAGCCATTCACAAAAGCTGAAAGCGTGTGCAGACCCCCTGTGCCCCTGCTACCGGAAGCCCACGCAAGACATGCGGTTGTTGTATCGCGATACATAATAACTCTACTAAGATTAGAAAAAGCAGAGGGGAGGGAGGACAGCCTTGAAAAATACCCGATACCACTGAGAATGGGTCGGATATTTCCTCGTTGACTAAAAAGGTCGTCGTGGTTCCTGTATTCAGCTGACGGATTAGATGTACGTATCGCTCAGAAAAGCCAAATGTCGTTAGAGCCTCGTAGAGAAAGTCCCTGTCAATGGTGTCATAGGCCTTACGATAATTTAGCGAGAGAATGATCCACTATCCATGGCTGTCAGATGGCCGTCCGTGGTAGCCGTCGCTAATTGAGAAAGCATCAGCATCACTAATTTGTGCATATGCCTGCCGTGCACGAAATCTTGCTGCGAATCACTAATAATTGTGGGCACACACGTTGTAATCGTGTCGCTATAACTTCGGTTAATATCTTGTAACTCGATCAGAGCAATGCAATAGGCCGGTAGTCCATCGCATCCGCCGAATCCTTTTTTTCTCAGTGGAATAATCAGGGCCTCTAGAAAATAGGGTGGGAGTTCCGCACCGGTCATAATCTCATTGCCAACCCTTACCAGAGCGAGGACTATCAGAGCCGTAGTATCCTAAAAAAACATTTTTAAGGCCGTCGGGACCAGCAGTTTACGACGGCTGAGCCCTGCATTGGCTGTGAGAACCTTGGCTTCGGAAATTTCAGCTAAGAGAGCCGCATTGGCTGCCTTCAAAATAACTCGCTCCGTCAGAATGTGTACAAATTGATGAATGGACGCTTTTAAGCCGTGAAGAGGCTGTTTCGATGAAAGACACCGAGTACAGGCGACCATTTGGATGCGAATTTGTCCGCAATGGTCATATTTCTGGTGAATACTGGACCGTGCTGTTGCAGTATGGTCTTGACGTGTAGGTAACGCTTCCATTAGGACACTCTAGACACTCTTAAATATACATTTAAACCGGTCAGCCGATCTGACGAGGTTTTGGCCTAGCAGTACAAGATGCTCCTGCCGTAAGTCTCTCATGTTTCTAATAATCCATTGTGGCCGATTGAATATGCCGTTGCCGTTGAATGCGATGCTTTGAGTTATGGCGGAGTTGTGCACGGCGCTGCTTCAACCGCTTGCTTACACGGCGAATGCAGCGTTTGCACTCGGCCACCAAGATGTCCCAAGTAAGCGTAGAGGCAGCTTGACCAATAGCCATGCCATCCATATCCTTGACTCATTCGTCGATCACTTGGGCAGGACATGACGATTAAATAGAGTAAGCCACTGCTCGATTCCGTAATGTCGACGAGGCCTGATCGTTTCCCTTAAACACAGAACCACCTCTTGATGATCCGAATGGTAAATAGGGAGACGCGTCTCTACCCGCTAGACTCTTTCCACCTAAATAGCAGGGACACAGAATTGATCAATTCGTCTGGCTCGTATATCTACCATACATGTGAATGATTCACAAATTCGTCAGTTATGTCGTCATCCTCATGGTCTATCAGCACTTGTGCATCTGCCAAACTGATCCAAATAATGACGGAGTCTAAGGCTGACATTTCCGACCTGTTGGAGCGGTGATGTCAAGCACGATGGAGAAGAGGAATTTGAACACAGTTAAAGTCCCCAGCGATGATCGTGTTGATGGGGTCCATATTCTAAGATAATAGAGAGGTGTTAAAGGCCTCGCGTTCTGGCCGTAAGGTGGGAACCTACAGATTGGCGAGGAGGATGTCTCCAATCGATACACTTAATGCGCGCGTACTTCAGCGATCCTGATGACATACCGACGAGTGGACAGCAGAGTGCGGGGTTAAAAGAATTGCTACGCCAGCGTGTCGTGACGATCCCGCACTCCATTACGACAATGAAGGAGCATCGGGCTTTAGGTGCTGACCCCACAAGCGAGTCCACTGGGCACTCAGTTGAGCCACCCCCTCCACTGTTTGGACGTGCGTTTCTTGGATGCATCACGCCAAAACGCTTTGTCCAGGAGTCTGTCGACGCCAAGCCGCCATCCAACCAGCACGGGTGCTTTCTTCAAAACCTCGCACGTTTTGAGTAATGATTACCTCATCACCAACCCGTCGCTAATTTTTTTTGGTGTCATGGGAAGTAGTCCAATCCTGAAGTAAGCGAGCACGTCCATAGGCGTCGACTTCCTTCAATGAACAACTATGAAGACAGGAGGACAGGTGCAACCGTAAGCTGCCCTCAGTGTTTAAGAAGGAACTGCGCCGCCACAGTTGCCAACAACATAAAGAAAAACTGTACGAGTGTTCGCCAGACCACCCGGGTTTTCATCCGATGAGTAATATGCCTCTTTATAGTGGCAGTTTCGTCTTAGCAGGTGAACATGACATCGTAGTTTATTGGGGAGAGTGAGCGGATGTACGTCATCCCCCGTCAATGCACGTATCTCCTTGTCAAAAAAATAGCGCAAAGTAGATGGTGAATTCGACGGATTCGTCGTTGCGGGTCACAAAGCCGTAAGATTCCATCTTTGGCGTTGTTACAGTCTCGTAGTTTTCTCCAAACCATCCCGTTTTCAATAAGGGGATCGAGAGAAGAAGAGGATTGACCCCACTGCGCGCGAGATATCCGTTGATCTAACCACTGTGAGGTGGTGGCATCTTTCGCCCTGAGACGGTACGCTTGAAGACCCGATAGCAGGCACTCCTGACGCCACTTCGATGTCCGCTGCACTAGAACCTGATCGGCTAAGCTGGCTAGTAAAGTATCCGGAAAGACAAAGCGTCGCACTTGATGGAGCAGAAGATTCGACTCCATTCGCACAGTATTTAGCTACGACTCTATTCCACTATGAACTAAAGGGTATGACGTCTCAGCTGTGACCGACCATTCAGACCCTGAGGCACACCAAACTGCTGGCCACTCCTCACGATCAATCCGTCCGTCTGGAGAATATATTCCGGACTGTTGAGGACTAACCGTGACTCTGCCTTTTTTTAGTTTAGATTGACCCAGGGAGCTGGAGTCACTGTCGTCATCCATATCGACCGCTTCTAGCCGCGTGGCGACGAGGTCTCGTTTTTGCGCCAGCACATTTACTTCCATAAAATTGTCCCTGAACACCTCCGAAACCGAAGTCGGCTGCGAAGGACGCAATACCAACGCCTGACTGTTTTTCCCTGTCCAGAGTGAACTACAAGCGAGGTTGTTTGATTATCGCAAGTTAAAGGGGCTACATCCTGTCCAGTACCATACGAAGCCTGCACATGTAGTGCCAATTGTGTAGCTTCAGCTACCGCAGGTAGCTTTGAATGCTGTGACAGCTCTGAGATCTGGCCGTTAAAGTCATTCGGCCGGGGTGTTTGGTCTGCCACGCCTTCCGTATGTAAGAATGCCGAATAATGGCGCCCTCAGAAACGGAGAGCCAACGGCAATGAGTCTGTTACCGCAATTTTAGCCACTTGCAGATCATCGATGCAAGCCATGATTGAAAGAGGGTATTACTTGGCCGTGTCTAAGACTCTACCGTGCAACTGCACCTTTGTCAGGTGATATTTTCGACAGCCCCACTGCTCACTGTCATCCTCAAAGTGGATGACAAAGACATCCCGCTGCAGAAAAGTAGCGGCCATATTAAGTATGTCACTGCCTCCCCAGCATGTTTCCGAAAATATGATGTCTCTGTCAGACGGAGGTTCTGCATAGTCTGTTAAAAACACCGCAGTTGAGTTTCGACTCCTCTCTGGTCGTTGTCGGCCACCCGCTACCAAAATTTCAACGTATTGACCCTCAGGTCGTGTGGTAGCTGACCTTCCAGATTCAGCAGCCCAGCGTACTTGATACCGCGCTTAACGCTGGCCGTAAGAGGCTCCAGGGCCTTGATTTGTGCGTCTAAGGTGGAATCTGCGACGGCTTGAGCGATCGTCATCGTCAAACAGTTTCCAGTGGCTGGGGTGGGCACTTCCCGTAAGCCCATAATACGCATCATATGTTTTGAATGAATAGGTCTGGTCTCTGGACGAGGATCCATCGGGATCGAAGTACTACGTCCTTTCTGTTGCTGTTTAACCAGCCGCTCGCAGGTTGCGCGTTCAAGACGTTGTTTTGCTGAAAGCGTCGGTCCCGAGATCTCGGGCGCTTTCCCTCTTTACTTGAAGTCTTGATGACGAAGTCGATCATCTAACGATAGGTGAGGACCGGCCCGTGTGGCGTCCGGAGCCATGTTCGGGTGAAGCTCCGGTGTAATTGGAGGGTCGTCAGTGCCACCGTCTGTGCTAGAAGTTTGAGCGGACCCCGCACTATTCTGCTCCATCTCCGGCTCCCTATCTTGCAGGGTGTGAAAAAGCGCCCGAGCTGGGGCCTTCGGTCATTACCAGTGGCTTGCGTGAGGGCCACAGACGCCGTCCATTTCGAAAGGATGTGTCAGCCAAGGCAGCTCCGGCCGGGACTTTGGTTCAGGATCCGAAAATCCTGCTTGCGTGAGGATGACAGTGTAAACAGGCTGACTGGGCACCCCAGTGCGCTGGGGCTCCACTGTCGGAGGCAGCCGTGAGGGAGCTGTGCCTACTGCCACCGGTGTGACAGCTGCATGAGCCGCCTCGTCTGCTGCCCTCTGAACTTGTAGCCGTTTGCTAGTCATCTCCCGCATCTCCTCCGGGCTAAGGAATGGTTTAGCCAAGTCTTAGACGTCTTGAAGCTCAGCCTCTGTGACTTCGATAGCACCTGGCCCCTTAATTTGCGCATCCGTAAATTGGCACCTGGCGGCAGCGTGGCCTATAGTGCCGCACTGGAGACATTTAAGGCCTCGACTCACGTTTGGGAGCTTAATGTTGATCGGTGTTCCAAACTATAGAAGGTGATCTATCCCTTAAAGAAACGTTGGACATTCGCCAGAGAGAAGGTAACTTTCCATACTGTTGACGTCCGGGGGTTTGGAGTGCAAGTGTCCATATCTTCGAATTTAAAACTAGTCGGGATATTGGACCTAAAGTAAGCCGCTATGCGTCCAATATCATTAAATCGTGTCTTTTCGTGCAGGAAAAATTGTGTACTTAGTACGTGAATGGCCCGAACGATCATCTGGGCCTCGCTGATTCTGCCAAACTACCCCCGCACCGGCTAATGAGCTTTTTCTAACGTGTTCCCTGGTCCCTGGAATGGTATTTGAACATCCTACAGATTTTTGCTGTTCCCTCGAGATAAAGTAGAAGTGATCGTTCGGGATGAGTGGCTATAGATGATGGACTTCGTTAGTCCAAGTAAGCGGTGGAGATCCGTCAGACTGACCTGCAGAGGCTTAGCAAATTCGATTATTGTTGCCGTTATACCATTAGAAGTCTGTCGGCTGATCGGGATGTAACGACCTCTGCCAATAGTAGGAACCAGCTGCTCTTCGACCTGCGCCTGGATGGTGCTGTGGAGCCAAAGACGTTCCCCACTATCAAAGACGGATCGTAGAATATCTGACATCCGACGGCACGCAATACGTCCTTCAGCTATGTCCACGGTGACTCGCTATTCGTCGTCTGTGCCCTCACGTAAGCGGTCCGAGGCGGGCGGCACAAATGTCTTCAATCTTAGTTGCCTCTGCAGTGGAATATTTCGTTGGGTCAAACATAAAATCATCATAGGCAAGAGACGTGTGCCCTTTCTGCCCTTCCTGGGCTGGCTGTGCTCCTTGGCGCACAAACCGCGCCCATAGGTCGGAGACCGGCGCCGTGGCTCACTAATATTGGCTGGCTAGTTCTCGAATAATCTCTTTAAAGGCCCACTTGGTGAGCAAAATATCTTTGCCTATCTTATTAGCAAGCCTCGTCCAATCGGTATATGTGCCTGAACTCCGAACAAAACACTGCCGAAATATATCGAGGAGACCGTCCAACTCCAACCCTTAAGCTTTGAAAAGCGTTTCCGCTCTTGCGGCAGAGCTTCCAAGCTAACCGTAAGCCGAGAAATTACGCATTCAAACAGCTCCTGAACGGTCTGCCGCCATACATCAACGTACCCCCGGGCCGGGTGATGCCTTCATCTCTTCGACTAGGGCATCAAACATGTTACGGGGGGAAGCCTGAGAAGGCGAGTGTTGGAAGCCAACGCTCCCGATTAAGTCGATTGGCCAGGTGTCGGGGCTCGCGTCGGATCCGACGACATAATCTCTTCTCCAGCGGGTGGCGAAGTTCCAAAGGAAACAAGAGGAGCCGGGATACGTGCATGAGCTGACATATCTTGTGGCGAGGATCCGGTCGACATGGCACGCTTTAGGTTAGAGTCAATGTCGGTGTCCCCAGCTGCCTCCGGGGCGATGGGTTGGTGCGAGTGGCCGATCGGATGCGACGGAATGCTCTGCCTATGCTCCTCCGTGACTGGTGCCGAAGGCCGTGATATACTGCCATCACTTTCCAAGGGTGCGATCGACTGAGGTTGGATCTCCCCTCCTTTATTGGGAGGGGGGCTTGGTGACGGCTTCATATCCGTCGTTTAAAAGATGCTGGCTGGCGCCAGTGAGTGCCTTTTTATACTCTACTACCTATTCACTGCAGATTGAAGAGCTATCGCTTGATAGAGAGCGCTCCCGGGGCTGCCAATCCGGCCACCAGAAGCGCATCTACGATGCGTTAGTGTAGAGCCGGTGCAGAGGACAGAAAGGCGAAAAAAATCGAGCAAAAGAAAGAAAGTATCAAAGACCAAGCGTATCGATTACGCATCACTGGCCTCGCGAGGGGTAGGTGTAAGCCCTTGGAGACCACCCCGTCTCACGCAAGCAAGACGAGATGTCCAAAAATGAATGTGAAAAAGACCGAAAAAAGTCGGAACCAGTTTTCACACTGATTAGAACAGATACTACACTTGATCTTAGCTAAAAATCCAATAAGGTATGGCTTAAAAGCAATACAGAGGACAGAATGCAACACTGTCGAGACGATAGCGAATGTTGACAATAGGAATTTGAATGTTACATTAAATTCGAAATTCGAAAGTGATATTTCAAACAATGAAATAGAGCAACAAATCTACAATCTAACGTCAGTTTTTCTGACGTGTATGTTGATAGTGTGTGTACGTTGTGAATGATGTAAAGTAATCATGACAATACAACATACAAAGCTGTTGAAAAGGTAAATGTAAGTTGGCCTCACGGGAGAAGGTTAAGCCCCGAGACGCCCCGTCTTAGTAGCAAGCTACTTGACAGGATGTCCAAAAATGAATGTGAAAAAGACCGACAAAAGTCGGAAACCAGTTTTCACATTGATTAGAACAGACAAGTGTGTGCATTACCGCCTGGTTTGCCTATTTCTAACGGGTATCGAAGTACCATATCGAAACTATGTGGTGTGTAAGGGACGTACAGGTTGCACCACACAGAGCTAAACTACAACGTACCGGAGGGGTTTGAAGGGCGGTTCCCATCTTGGGAATGTCCCTGTCGGCCACTACGGGCCCGAGCGACGCTTAGTGGCAGCCTGGATGTGACGGAGTGTCCCGTTCTCCGTCACCCGAGTGCCCTTCGTGATAATTCTTGAGCGTCTTCGAGCTTGGTCTCGAACCTCAGCTGGAAATTAAACCCCATCTTGACCTTGAAATCTAGCTTGACCTTGAACATGATCTTGACCATGATCGCGAGCTTGACCTTGGCCTTGACATGCGCGGTGCGTACTGCAATGCATGTTCCAGATGCGGCGGCTGAGCTTTATACATTCGACAGATAATTGCCTATTCAGCCGCTTCGCATCGCGCTTGAGCATCCTAAGGTGGTCGGTAAATTTTGCAAGGTTTCCACCAGCAACAGCACCGAGCGAGCCATAAATCAACGCCGAAAGAGAGACAGTCCAGCCTTGACGCTCCAGGTGGCGCTTGACGCAGTCGTACTTGGCCTTTTTGAAGGCCGCGATACGTGCTAGCGAAGAAGTCCTTGGATCATCGTCGTTCTGCTCTTCGAAAGCCACCGCTAGATCTAGAACCGAAACAGTGTGCAAGGTGTGGTTGTAGACCTGTAAGTCTGGCCGCAGCGCTGGACCTGGAAGCGAAGGAACCGTCTGGTTAACGCGCATCTCGACACGGTCCTTCGAGGCCCTTGCCGAAGAAGTAATAGCAAGCTCGATGATCTTCAAGGCGTCGTCGTATCGTCCACGGATAGCATCCATCGTTCTAGAGCAGTGGTTGTGATCATGCGCACATGTCTCGGACCGAGAGCATCCAGGAGTTCTGCACTTTTCGTGGGAACGGAGACGTCGACGCTTGAGCACACGGTGAATGTATATCTGGTTCAGATGACCATCCAATGCAAAGCGATAATCTCTTTCCCATATACCGCGAGGCCGGGAAAGTAAGCCGCTTCCAGCACCAATAAGGGTGCGAGCGGACTTGCCTTGGTCCCTCATCGCAGATAAACGCTTCCAGTGCTTGTTCTTCAGGTGCAGCTTCACGTGCCTTAGGAAAATTCGATGGTCCAACCAAGCACCCTGGTGTGGCACGCAAAGCTGCAACCATTTGGATGGTGTCCTAGTCAACTCCACCGCTGGCGCCATATCGAACTGTAAGCCGAAGCGGTGAATGTGACCACGGACGTCGAACCACAGCTCCCCAATGTCAGCATTTCTTCGCTTAGGTGGGGCTGGGTCCGACATCCCCAGCTTGCTGTTGAGAAGGAGCTCGCTCAGCTACTCCTCACAATCATTCCAGTCATCGACTGGAAGATTGTACCTGGCCTCGGCAATCTTACGGAGCTGCTGGCGTGCAACACGCCGAATGGCAGGGTCAGAACTGTGAAGCATCTGCCACCCATGAGCCACCTGTAACGCACCATGCAGCTCCGTCAACGACAGGAGCCATAATCCACCTCTGGAGACAGGCAAGTAGAAGAACGCCGTGGTGAAGCTGGTGGGAAGGCGAAACAGGTGGCGAAGGCCCTGAACAAGGTGCTGGTCGAAGCCCTCCAGCTGCTGAGCAAACGGTCTCAAGTGGCGGAGGACATAATCGACTCGCGGGTAAAAATAAAACCTTAACCGCCTTCACCACCTGCCATGGCACCAGTACGGACTGCAACAGCGCAGTGACGTCAAGCTTGAGCCGTGCGAGAGCGGGTGCTAGCTCAACACGCCGACGCACATGATCAAACCCATCCCCATTCTAAAGTACTAATAAGAGTCTGCAGCACTCGGTGAGAGGATCGCGGCACTATCCAGCTGCAGCCCAACGTCATAAGTCTTATGCAAACCACGTAAATCGAGCTAAACAGACATGGTGCTGCACTTTAGCGGGTTCGCCTTCAAGCCAGTCCAGCGAAGAAAGTCTTGCACCACCGAGTGTTGCCGCACGATCCCATCCACGGTGCTGCTCAAAAACATTCAAGTTGTCCGCATAGGCAGCAGCACCGGGCGGTCTTCGCTGGACACCTTCACACCAGTGTCCGGCAGCAACTTAAGCGCATGGAGCAATGGAGCAATCGCGGCAGTGCAGAGGTCTGGCTTAATGGGCAGCCTTGAAACATTCCGACCAGCAACGCAATCGGCGCCAGGGTCCCATCATCCACATTACCAATTGTAAATGCAGCATCAGATAGAGACCACGGCAGCAAGCATCAAACTCGGACGTAACACCCTCGCGTTCGAGTGCTTCCCATAGCAAGTCGTGTGGTACGCTGCCAAAAGGGTTGGCGAAGTCGAACCACACGACATACAAATCCTGGTGCTTGCGTCGCGCTTGGTCTACGAGCATGGCCGCGAAAAGTGGTGATCCCCAAAGACGTTCATGGCTCGGAAGCCCTTTTGCACCTCAACGTGTCTTCCATTCGGTTCCAAATAACCCGTGAAAAGTTGCGCCAAGACCCCAGCGTATAGCTTGTAGATGGCCTGCTGTAAGCAGATCGGCCGCCAATTCGAAGGGTCGAGCCGATCGCCTTTCTTGTACAGCAGGCGCACCACATTAACCTTCCATCTCTGCGGCACACGCTTGCAAATGCTGCATGGGTTGTAGGCAGAAGCTGGGGTAGGAACAGCTTGTAAATGTCATACCCAACACCGTCCAGACCGGGCCTTGAGGTTCCACGAACCGCTGTACTTGAGCTTCAATCTCATCAGCACAGGGCGCATCTATAGCAACCCTATGTTGCTTGCTGCCAAAGGAAGACGGCTCAAGGCACCACGAAACGGTACCCAACAGGCGCCAAGGGTTCGAAAGCATGCACCGTACTGGAAACACCGTAAAGAACTCGATCAGCCTGGCCCCCGGTATTAGGCAGGTGACACCATTATCGGCGTCGTCGGGAGGCAAAATAGGCGACCCAGACCGCTGCAAGGAATTCTCAACATACCTGGCAGGAACCTTCGACTTAGCCGCCGTCATAACGCGCTCGACGCACATCTTCTCATCGGCGTCGAAGAGGTGGCGTTGTTGCTCAAGGGAGGAGTTGATCCTCCCCACACAACGACGTGCCTTGGCCAGAGCCTTGCGGTCGCCCGGCTCGCGACGCTGGACAGCATGCATAGCGTCTAGAGCCTCGTCAATCCGGTGCTCGCGGTGATAACGTGTTACATGTGGCGGACGCGTGCACCGGCGTCTCATGCCACCGGAGCGAGCACGGCGACGACGGGACCGGCAAACTTGGTGCTGCTGGACGCCTGTCAGAACTTGTTCATTGTCTCGGGGCGGATCCGGGCCCAGCCAGGCCGCAAGTATTGCAGCTGGCCCGTCTTCTGGCGCTGCGAACGAGGATAGGCAGGTTGCTGTGCCTAGGAGTAAGGCTGCAGTTGAACGTTCAGTGCATAAGGGAGGGCTGTGATATAGCCCTCTGCCTCCTCCCAGTTATCAGTGTCCGTGATCTTGGCAGCTAGCTTCGCAGCTAGCCGCTCCACCAACCTGAATGCAGCCTCTTGCTCGTCCTCATCCAATGCGCGAAGGCGCAGACGCGACCGGCGCTGAGGCACTGCATCAGGCCCCACACGCATCGCTGCATACACCTCACCATCATCGTTGTCCCCCATGTCATCATCATCGGCGGGGGTTAGGGGAAAATCGGTGCCCACCGCGACATGCGGTGCGGGGTTAGGGGAAAATCGGTGCCCACCGCGACATGCGGTGTGGCAGCTGAGGTGCAGCTGCGGATTCAGGGGCCGTCGTGGAGGTGGAGGTGCATCCATGTCCATCGATATACACCCCGCACTCCAGCTCGGTCACGAGGCGGTCAAGAGTGGCGTTGGCGAGGCAGTCGGCATGACCGTTCGCCTGCCTGTCGATGGGATGAAGCGTTGCCCGCTCCGTCCGCGCCAGCTCTGCCTTGACTGCGAGTCGTAGGTGACTCAGCCGCTTGTTGCGTGAGACGAAGATGCCACGCACCATCTGAATGACCAGTGGGCTGTCATTCTCGATCCGCAGGCTCGTGACTCCGTGGTCGGCGGCAGCCCTTGCGCCGAGCAGCAGCTCCGTATATTCGGCGGTGTCGTTGGTCTCGCTGCTGCTCGGCATGTAGTGGGAGCAAGCCCACACTAGGGGGCCGATGGGCTTGAACAACGCAGCGCCGGCGCCTCCTGGGCCAGGGCTCTTGCGGCAGGCACCGTCAAAGTGCAGCAGCCACGTGCCATCCATGTCGGGGTCTTCGGTGACGTTCTTGTCGTCGCCGTCACCAGCCTTGGTTTCCTCCTCCTCCGTTAGCTCCGGCGGGAGGAGACGGTCAGTAATCCCTGACACCACCACGCTGCGAGGCAGTGGTGGTCACCAGCGAGGGGCGGGGACATCGCCGAGGTGAGACGCAACGCGAGAAGCGACCAGCTCCCTTGGGAGCGGCGGGCTCCATCTTGACCTGTCAGGCGTGGTGCTCGACTGCGAAGGGGACACAGAGAGCACCGAAGGGTCTTGGTGGGGCAGCAGGGATTTGTGTCGGCCACCGTAGCGGTGGCATTGACTGCACCAGCAGTGGGGCTGAGATCCCCTGCTGCTGATGCAGTCGCAGCCGAAGTGTCGCGGAGGCTGGCAAACGCGCGAGCGTGGTTAGCTGCAGCCAGCCTCGACACGAAAGGCGTGCCGCACGCACAACCTGCCGAGAAGCGGTCAAGAAAGGCGATGCGGCAGTGCCTTGAGTCCCGGTGGCGCTTGAGCGAGGCAAATCTTGATGCCGTGTATGTACACAGCGTGCACATGAAGCGCTGCGCATGTGCATACACGGCCTGGACGGAGGCCGGGAGTGCGCTGGCCGTGGACGACCAAAGCGCTGAGCTCATGGGGCCGGACTTAACGTCCTCGAGCAACAGTTGCTAGGCTTGCTCGCGCGGGTCGTCGTCGACGTCATCCTCGTCATTCAAGCCTCGAGGCTTGCCACCGAGGCGGATCACAAGAGGCGGCGAGCCCGTAGTGTGGCTTGCTGCCTGCCACGTCGCGCCCTAGTCCACGTCTATGGGGACGGTAGCGGTCGTGGCAGGAGCCTGTGCATCACCCGCGGGTAGCATGCTACCCGCCCTGCAGGGTGTGCAATCATCAACTTGGGGGCAGGGGCCAGCAGACAACTTGTCGTCGCAAGGTATCGAGGCGTCATACACGGCTCGGTCAGGCATTACGGATGTCTGCCAGCCGAGCCGGTCGTCACAGGTACGTGAGACATCAACAACATCATAAGCAGTTGCTGCAGAGGACACGACCTCGTGAGAGGTGGTGGTCGTGTCCATGGTGTAGGCCGTGGCCACTGCTATGTATACAGCTCGGGCGGGCAGCTCCGTAGCTACCTGGCTGAGTCGGTCGTCATCACTTGAGCGGGCTGTGGCTGCGTCGTGGTCCATCGAGGAGGTGTCTTGGTCGTCCTTGTCGCTGCTGCTGTCGACCTCGGGGTCGCTGGGGCCATGAGAGGGGCACCCAGGGCGCGAGCCGTAGCTGCTACGAGCACGTACCCATCGTTGACTCGGTCGAGCAGCATGCTTGCCACCCTAACAGGTCGAGAAGCAACATTCGCGGGGCCAGCGGCAGGGGCTTCACGGGTGGACGAGAGGGCGTGTGGAGCCATCTTTACCGCCTCCTGACCCGGGGGAAGCGTGTGGTCATTCGGGGAGCCGATGCTCTGTAGGCCCTGCATGTCTTGTAGTGATACTCGGTCGGGCAGCGTAACGCCCGCCCTGCAGTGTATGCCAACAAATGCTCTGCAGTCATGGGGGGCCGCGGCGGGCGATCAGGCACGCGGGGAGATGCACGAAGCCAATAGGCGCACGGAGTAGGCGTGCGCTGCACTCGAGACCTCTGTAGGGCCGGCGGAGACAAAGCCGGCTTGGGCCGAGGAGTCTCGCGCGTTGTCTTGATCGTTTTTCGTAAGCATCGGCGACCCCTATACTGAAACCAAGTATAGTACCGAAGGTACCTTCGGTGGTACCAACGGGGGGTCGCCGGGCCTCTTCACGGTCATCGACGGTACCCGAAACCGAGACCAAAGACCGGGGGGCCTTGTCCGCGCCGGAGACCTTTGCGCGCGCGGAAACTTGGTGGGCACTGGGCGATACGGGTTTCGAACCCGTGCCCGAAGTTGCGGCGCCTAACTCCGCGTCACCGCCGCGAGGCGATGGCGACGTAGACGCATGCGGTGTAACGGGGTACCCTGAAGCTTGTACTGGTGACAGTACAAGCTACTTATTCTGATGACAGAATAAGGCGGTGCCTCGTAACTTCACGTACACTCGTACGTGCAGAGGAAGACGGTAAGAAGAAGCGAGTACTTGGTTAAAGTAAAAAGTAGAACTGTATTTAGTACAGTTAATGTCTGCAATAAATCACTATTTATCTTCATCTAACTATGTCTAAATACAAATGTGCATATCAACTATCTGCTCACCACTCATTGCGTGCGTCTGTCGTGGCGCGTCTTCGTTGGTTGATATAATGGCCTATATAAACCAATTAGGAACTACTCGTAAGCGCTACAGAATGTTTGTCCTTATGACAATATTATGAGAATATAACTCGTATAGTTATATTCTATTAACAATTTCTTATAAATTGTTATGTAACGATTCAGCCCGTTATATCACCCCCCCTTAACCATCAGTCACTTTAGTGACTGATTGACTAAATGGATACTCGTCCCAAATCATTTGGGACAGGGTTTGCACTTGTTGGTCCGAGTCCACTTCCCAGCATTTCATCGCATGGTTAACAAGCCCATGCGCTGCGCGAGCAAGGCCGCCGAGAGCGTGTCTGCACGTCTCTGTGCGGACGCCGAAGCAGAAACAACAGCAACTGATGTCTCATCGGTTGCTGAAGCGGCCCAGCCTGTGTCACTTGGTGATGCAGGCGCTGGTCATGAAGACACTCGTGTCTTCACAGAGTATGAGCTCGGTGTCTCGTACTCTCCTGATACGGATGACGGATCCGTATCGACGGCGATTGAATCTAAGCCGCCTGCCAAGCGTGGCATGGACGATGCTTTGCGTCGCAGCATCTTTGGTTCATCTGATGAATCAGATGAACCATCGCCGAAGCGAAGGCGCTCGAGGTCGCGAGACTCGGGCGCTAATAGTGGTGTCGGTTCTCCTATGGACACCACTTCACAGCGAGGTGCCAGTACTTCTGTCGGCACATTGCAGGAAGAGCGGGACCGCAATGTCTTGCGTCTCGCTCCAGAAAAGAATGCATGGACGCCTCCAAAATCCGTCATGGATCACTTGTCGGCGACGACGAGTGATCGTTATCGAACACGATTGTTCGATTCATCAAGGATCCATCACCTTGACCCCAGCGCGAAAAACTATCGTGCTGAGCATGAATTCTTCATCGATGCTTTCTTTAGACATCGATGGTACAGTGGGAATCACAAGCGTGATGGTCCCTCACTGCTTCAGGCGTGGAACGCCTACATCCATAACCTTGAGGATGTAGGTCGTGACGCTTGGAACGACAAACTTATCAAAGCTCGTGATAAGTTTGAAAAGCGAACCCCGACAGGTGCACGCTACAAGCTGCATCGTTTTTCAAGGGAGAAAGGATTACCCTGCCTCTCTTGGGGAGACTCGTGCCCATGTTGTGTGAACAACTCTGCACGAGCACCTAAGGAGGCTTACCTCCTTACCAGCCCGTGGTGGCGCGTACGTGTCTCTACTGAGATGTACGAAGGGATTGACAACCTGAAATCCCTTTACGACCGTGCCGGGAAGACTTTCTCCGGCGGTCCTTCTGCGGCACAGGATGTGCCGCGTCGTACTGCTCAACCAGACCCAGTACGTCGATCATCAGTTGGGAGCGGGGCTCCCAAGAATCCCAGGACGGGGGATAGCCGCGCCACCGGACGAGGTAACTCGTCCGACGTCCGTTCACGTCGCGGTGGTTCAACAGCTGCTCAACTAGATAGCGCTGGCCACCGCGAGAGTCCTCTAATGGAGGTGGAGGAGGAGGAAAGACGCTATCCACACGATCATGTGGATCGGTGTGTTCCCGAGAGCTTCTTTGATCGCGTAACGCAAGGGTTACGCGACGATCTCGAACATGAGCGGAATAGGCGTCTCCAAATGGCGGACACTGCCTCGAAGCATCGAGCTGAGTTTGCCTTTGCTCAGCTCGAGAACGAGAGATCTCTGACATCTCTTCGTGACGAGCTAAGGGTAGCTCGTGGGATTGTTAATCGGTCTCGGGATGAGATAGCTGCTCTTCAGACCCTTGTTGATGCCCACCATCGGGAGCACAAGGCTCTCTGCGAGATGCTAGAGCGCAAGGGCGTTCTTCATCGGAAGAAGCAGCGTACTGATGGTACGGCTTAAGCCGACCAACGTAAAACGTGGGATGCGTTCGCATCTTACGTGGTAACTCGATCGTGTATGCATTGCCTAGGCGGTGCAATACACGAAATGGGCCGATATACTTGGGTAGTAGTTTACTACTACCCAAGTTAGTCACTACATGCTTTGGTAGATTAACCGTAGACAGTAGGACTAAATCACCTTTATTAAATAAAAGAGTGTTTGCCCTTCCATTCTTGTCAGCGTTTTGCTTTTGCTTATCCACCGCTTCGGCGATGGAGTCTTGCACAAAACGGACTACCATTTCACGAGCCAGTATGAACTCATCTGATTACTCGTTAGCTTCAGTGCGCTGTGAGCGCACTGCAGCAACATCAACCTTTTCTTCAGTGAGGGCTTCCGCACTCTCACTGGGATCATCTTCTTCAGTGAGGGCTTCTACACTCTCACTGGCATCAACTTCTTCGACATCGATGTTATCGATATCGGCATCAAACGCAATGACTTCTTCGTCAGAGCGTGATGAGCGTGACCCAAATCGGTTTTTGCTCGCGCGAGTCCCTCCCCCCCTTAAACCAGAGTTACACTCTAGTAAGGTGGGTACACGCGGATGGCGCAAGCCATTCACGTAAAACGGTGTATGTGTCGTGGACGCATGCACCGAGTTGTTGATGGCAAACTCTACCATTGGCAAAAACTCACTCCAACTGTTAAAGGAGTGTACGTATCCTCGAAGTATCTCTTCAAGGACACGATTGGCACGTTCCGTCTGACCATCTGACTCTGGATGATCAGATGTCGACATCTTCAAGCGCGTTCCGAGTGATTTGAACACGGAACGCCAGAAATCAGCATTGAATCGTGGATCTCTGTCTGATACGAGTTCACGGGGCAACCCGTGAAGCTGGAAGATGGTGTCGATAAAGACACAAGCACAGCCACTTGCCGTGATTGTCTCTGGTACAGCCACAAGGTGTACCATTTTGCTGAATCTGTCAACAAATACGAGAATACCCGTATTCCCGCGTGCGTCTTTGGGTAACCCGAAGACGAAATCCATTGAGATGGATTCCCAGCACTCAGCCGGAACCGGTAGAGGCTGTAAAGGTGCACGCAGTGAAGGACTTGACTTCACTCGTTGGCAGACTTCGCATGCGCGAACATACTTTCGCACAAACTGATACTGGCGGGGCCAGTAAAAGTCTCGACTCACCGTGAGATATGTTTTCTCTCGGCCACGATGTCTTCCTATAGGAGCATCATGATACTCGAACATGATCCGCAAACGCAGATCAGTATCATCTGGAATGACAACACGTGGTGTGTCACCAGAAACGGCTGTATAATACAGTAAACCGTTGCGAGTAGTGTATCGATCTGATGCAGATCGATACGCAGACGACAATCGTTTCAACGATTCTCGAGATGGTTGGGAGAGATGTGACAACAACTTCACAATCTCACCATCTTGGGCGTATGCCCGCCTCACATCATCATACAACGTTGTAGATGGGACTGAGGACGTCATAACCGCAACAGTGACTGTCTCACTGTTGGGTCTCGCGACTGTTTCAAAGTCGGGCCGACGTGAGAGTGCATCAGCGACGACACTAAGTCGTCCTGGTTTGTACTCAACCGTAAAGTTATATTCTGCAAAGAATGACAACCACCGCGCCATTCGATTGTGAAAGGTGCGAGCTGTTCACTGCCGTGCGTAATGACGCATGGTCAGTGTAAACAATGAAGGGTCTATCTCCTAATAGATAGACTCTGAACTTCGCGAGTGCATACTTCATGGCAAGGAGTTCCTTGTCATGCACTGGATAGTTCCGCTCAGCTGGTTGCAGCTGACGCGACTGATAGCAGACGACGCGTCCAACGCCTTCAAGATCGTACTGCATTAATGCACAGCCGATTGCGAAATCGCTGGCATCACAGACCACATGAAATGGCCTTTCCTGATCGCCAATTGCTAGGACTGGGGATTGTATCAAGCTCTGCTTGATACCATCAAAGGAGCGTTGACATTCAGCGTTCCATAACCACCTCTCGTTCTTTTTCAACAAACGAGAGAGGTCCACAGTCATCTCGGCGTAATTGCGTGAATACTTATGCAAATACGCCGCTAGCCCAAGGAATTTTCGAAGACCTTTGACATCAACCGGCACAGGCCAGTCGGTGATCGCCTTGATCTTTTCGGGATCAGGAGGTACACCGTTCTTACCAACGATGCACCCAAGAAGTGGTATTTCGCTTGCTGCAAACATACACTTCTTGAGGTTAGCATACAATTGATGCTTTCGCATGATTGTAAGAACCTGTCGGACGTGGTACCTGTGAACCTCAACGTCCGACT